AGTTGCTGTTTAGTGCTGTGATGTTAATTCAGCCCCATTTCACTAACTACCCAAGAGATAGCTTGTCACAGGGATTATTACAACTCAAGTGGGCCAAAATAGTTTCTAGGCCTCACAGATTTCTTACCTGTTTGTATTGTGAACAGACAGAATGAACCAAATAGCCAATCAGAGGACAACCTGATGTGACAATGCAACTTATTGAGTTAGACTTTGTGTATGAAAGTCTGCATTACATGTGAACTGTAGTGATGTTTTTAGCAAGACTACTTTAATAGTATTCTCTACAAACTAAGGATAACAGAAACTTAAACAGGTACAATTGGTTTGATCACTTTTTTGCAGGTTTTCTTTTTTTGGTCAGGTTTACAGGCTTTGATGAAAATATCTCCCATTATTTAACTTGTGACGATCACAAGAATGTTGGAGATGTTCTTTTCCAGAGTGTCCTTTTTTAATATTTCCTCAGTCAAAGACGCATGAGGAATTCTCACCCATACAGTACAGTTTGGGTTACTGGAACTGAGGAAGGAACTGCGATGGCCCACTGTGAGTTTTTCCCAGGTGGTCAAAGCCACATGTTATCAAAGGTTAAGGTCAAAGGTCAAGGGTCAGGGGAAGAGGGGTATATTGTATAGGACAAGGCAGACATCAACCACAAATCACCATAGACTTAGTACTGGGCAACAAGCCTTTGGGTACTTCTGTTTTCCTTTGCACTGAGGAATGAAGTGGAAAGTCATGTTATAAACCATAACCAAGAGCTGTCTGGTTCCCTGAGAGTTAGCTACAGACACATGTCTTAGTGCAGTGCAGAACTGCAGTCACACACCTACTGCGGGTTCCAAAAGCTTGCTCCCTCGATGCCAAGGACACATGTCCTGTGCTGCACAAGACTTTCATACTCAGCAAGGTTAACAGTAAAGATGGGTTTGTGAGGAGGCATGAAGAGCACTTTGTGAGCTAAAAAGGGATTAAAGAAGTAAAGAATCCCTCCCAACCATCTCCCCCTCTTTACTGGAGAGCTATTTCCCATGTTCTATTTCCCGTCTGCTCAAATACTGTTCTAAGAGGACCACAAATCTTGTACCAAACTCTATCTGTGAGCATCAGAAGCAAACTTGAAGGTGATAAAAAGAAACAAGAAGAATGTTGATTTGAAGGAACATGTTAGCAAGTCATGATCTGCAGACCTTGTATTGATTAAGATATGGAAATGAGATTCTCACTCTGAGCAGGTTCGATGAGTTGCAGGCTCCTGTATATAAGCCAATACCAGGAGTTATGGCATGTCAAGCTTGCTGTGCAGCCAAAATAATTTGAAGAATTTATTCTACTTCAGATAGTTTCTTTGTGTTAAACAGCATAGTTTTAACAGGCTTGTGTGCTTTTTTTCAGATTCAGGACTGTCAACGCCACTAATAATTAAACCATTGCCTCCATTTTAAAACTGACAAAATGCATGCAGTGATCGTCCTCATAAGCAATAATTACCAGCAACTGTTAATAAAAGCACTTAAGTCCTTAATTGACATGGTAATGGAGCTCCTGTCAGTTCAAAGAAAACATTTTACCTTGACAAGGGAAATACAAAGGTACCTTGCAGTTTATCAAGAGGTAATAACAATCTCGAGAATGGCTCAATCAGTAAGAGTGCTTGCTCAGAACACGTTAAACACAAACTAGAAGAGACACTTTCAGAGCTGAAGTTTGGTAGGTCTTAGCTTGCTAGGGCTCTCTTGTCTTTTGTTGTAACAGTGGCTCATGGGAGATGCCAGGCACCTACAAGCCTGCAGTGACGTCAGTGAGAGATTCATCACTCCTCCCCTCAGTCTCCAGTAGGGTACTGTGCAGCCTGCTGCATGCCAAAAGCAAATGGCTCTGCCAGTTGGGTGTGTTGGAGGAGAACATCCACACACAAGTCCTCTCTCCTCCTATGTAGTACAGGGCTCACAGCTGTAAGGCCAAGTCTCATGTCTTTGCCATTTTGTGTGGCAAAATAATGAGTGAATCCCAAATTTCAAACAAGAATGTATAATATAAAGAGCCTACATATTCCTTGAACTGGCCATAACCCTTGCCTGGGTGATTGTGGCTTTTTTTTTAAATTCTGTGAAGGGGTTTCTCCAGCAGGGGGAGATAGCTGGCCAATTATGTTGATTGCACAGTCGAGGTAGATCAGTGACTGTTTTTTGGTGGCCTCCAGGTCAGTTCCTAGACTAGTAGTTGGAAATCAGAGAATGTAGAAATTGTAGGGTTCCAACGCAGTTAGACCATCACATTCTTTGGTTATTTGGTTACAATGGGATAATATTCCCGAAATGCCACTGCTGTTCGAAATTACTTGATGATGATACTTTTGCGCGTGGCACGGTGGAGCAGTGGCATTAGCTTCACAGAGTTGGGGCCCTTGGTTTGATTCCAGACCTGGGGTGCTACAGTATCTGTGTGGAGTTTCTGTGCTCTCCCCGTGTTCAAGTGGGTTTCCTTCGGGTGCTCCGGTTTCCTCCCACAGTCCAAAAACATGGCTCTGTGGTTAAGGATCTGTGCCTGTGACTGGAAGGTTGCCGGTTCAAATCCTGCGGCTGGCAGAGGAATCCTACTCCGTTGGGCCCCTGAGCAAGGCCCTTAACCCCAACTGCTCCAGGGGCGCCGTACAATGGCAGACCCTGCGCTCTGACCCCAAGCTTCTCTCCCTGTCTGTGTCTCCATGGAGAAAAGCTGGGGTATGTGAAAAGACAAATTCCTAATGCAAGAAATTGTATAGGGCTAATAAAGAAACATCACATCAAACATACTTGTAGGTTAACTAGCTTTTGGGAAAATTGGCCCCAGGCATGTGTGTGTTTGTGTGTCTGCCCTGCGATGGACTGGCGTCCCGTCCAGGGGGTACCCTGCCTTGCGCTTGTTGCTTGCCACGAGAGGCTCTGACTCCCCCGCGACCCTGAATTGAAGTAGTAGTTAGAAGATGGATGAATGATACTTTAAATAAATACATTTTTTGCACATGAGCTGAAATGGAATTTTGGTTCAAGATTTAATCTTTCTTGCTTTTCAGACTCTTGATTCTGAAGGCTACAACTACAGGCAAAAAAAATCCCTGTTATTCCACAGATCTTCATTTCAAAAAGGACAGTTTCCATAGCAGAAATTCTAGCTTCAGAAATGTGGGGATCATGTCAATGTGCCCTCTGAAGTGAGTCTTCTAATCCCCAAACTGTCAAGGGCAAGTTTTGGAACACGCAGTATAAAATGCATTGTAAGAGTACCGATAAAGCGAATATGGAAAAATACAGAACGATATTTGGCAGAAGAAAGGGAAAAAAACATCAGGCATGCTAGTTGCAGTTGACTCAAAAACAAAAATACTGTTCTTGTTGGAACTTCCATAGAATGAAACTCTCAGTTAGATGGAAACAGTAATAATAATAATAATAATAATAATAATAATAATAATAATAATAATAATAATAATAATAATAATAATAATAATAAAACACTTGCACTTTGAACCTGAGCAGTGTCACAATCGTCCTGCCTTTGATTTATGGTTTCCATGGAAACAGGTGAATGTAACAGGGGGCTTAGTTTCAGATCAGGGGACTACATATTCCTGTTCTTTCTAATATGACTTCTGATGCTGCTGTTTTTGGTCTTAAACTTTTATGGAGCTCAGGCACATCAAAACAAGCTGCAGTGTGCTTTGGTGTGCTACATGCGCCTTGTTTCTGCTGCTCATTTTCATGGACCAGCCCTTCGCCCGGCCTTCATCAACACATTAATACTGCGACCTCCGATGGCCCTAACAGCAGCAGCACTGCCCTCGCTTGAACTGCTGCGTCTGCTCATCCTGGCCTGCTGAGCACTGCAGGCTCAGAGCTCCAGAGGTAGCGTTTAACCAGTGGTCGATTTCCCTTGCAAACAGCTCTGCAAAAACAAGGCCACTTCTGCATCCACTGAGGAAGTAGATGGCAGAAAAAAGTCACCGAGAGCAGGCATCTGGAACTCACTCCACAGGAAGGAAGGTGACAGATCGACAAAACGGATTGTAGTTCTGACAGCCTTGACATTCTAGAACTTTAAACAGGGACTTATAAAGGGCTCCTCGGGGATGGAACTATATTGTTTTGTTTTGGAAACCGGTAAACCATCTTGATAATCATATGTTGTCTATCCTGACAACTGGAAGCGACCAGATATCGGAACATTAACAGATTGAAAGCCTACCCTCTGCTCTGAAAGCTAAAGTTTGAACACTTTGCTTTGAGTAAAAATAAACGTCCCAAGTGGAGGAAGTGATTTACCAATCTAGGTTTTTAATTGATCATTTCCACAGGCATCCTTTCCCAGGTAAGACAGCAGTGGGCAGGGCTGCGGTTCAGATTTACAGTAATTTGAATAAACTGCAAATAAGAAGATTTTTTTATGTCAAGACTACATTAAGAACTAATCTGGAAAATCATCATCATTAGCCATAAAGGAACAAGTAAAGGTTAATTTCACACTGAGAAGCAGAAAGAAGAAACACAATGATTCTTCTTGGGGTGTGAAGGAAAGAGGAGAAAGTACTGTAGCAGGGATATACTCTAAAGCACACAAGATCAAAGGTGAGAGTTCATTTGAATGGGCACACATTCTCACTCTGTCCTCTTATTATAATGTTGGGCTTCTCCACTTCATCTTGTAATTCATCTTTACTTGTTCCTTTGCAGCCAAAGCACTTTAACCCACTCCCACTTGGAACCCCAGCAGCCTTAAATGACAACTATGTAGATAGTGTTGGAGATGGATTCCACAACTGAAGCTGTGGCAGAATCAGTAACCCCACACGTGGCCGTCATTGTGGAACATCCAGCTCTTTGTTACTGTTTAGCAGGAGCGTCTGCGCAGTCCTGCAGGCAGGTAGGGCGCTGCTCTTGGCTGAGGTCAGGCGGAGAGAGACATGGGGGGCTGGGGGGGGGGAGACTGGCAGGGAGCTGGCACCGAGCAGGTGGGCGTACCTGAGTCTGAATGCGGTTGAGCCCACGGAACCACAGGATCTGCCCGCGTCGCAGCTCCCTCTCCGCGTGATCGATCTCTTCCTCGTCCTCCGCGAGCTCCTCGTCTGTTATCTCGTCCTTGCCCGGCCCGTGGCCGGCCTCCTTCAGGCATTTGAGATGGCTGGTTGGCACCGTGGCAATGACCTTGAAGGAAGACAGATGGGCAAGCCGTGACTGAAGTGTGGAGCCCCGTTTCCGCGGGTTTCAGAAAGCACTCGATGGGCTAACAAGCGGTTTGACTGCTGGAGACCTCACTCAATCCGGGCAGGAGGTTTACTATTTGTGACTGACTCTCCTACAGGCTGCTTTGGCATAACCCTTTCCCTAATCTTTCACAGTTCATTCGGATAAAAGCTTGTGGTGTCTGAATTTGCAATACATATACATTCAAGTGCAATGTCATATTTAAATGAATCTCTTATTAAGACGGGCTTTTCCAAAGACATCCTCCCGCCAGAAAAAGCTTAAACCCCCCCCACTGGAAAACAAACATAAATTAAGCAGGATGAGAATAAAAAGAGCCTTTTAGGGTGCTTTACTTTCTTCCCCCGCTTTGTGTCAAATCCATTTTGCCGTTCATAACTTCAAATTAGTGTGTTTTGCAGAACAGTTTTTAGCAGAAATGAGAACTGCATAGGATTAGAAACATGTTCACAGGTAGTTCATACACATACGTTGGTAAGGAAATCCATGCAATTCAGAGCAAAGAGAAGGTGGGAGGGTGATGGTGGTGTACAGATATTTGCCAGAGCTGGCGCCCTCTGTACCCACCTGTCCCCAGAGCAGTTCTCCCACGCCCACAAACAGGCACCACAGCCACTGCTCCACATTGAGAGGGGCGCAGCTGAATGGTTTGCCCCCGAACTGGATGATCACAATCTGGGGAAAGACAAGACACACAGGACACACAGAGGGATCACCGAAACAGCATCAGTGTTTTCCTTACTTGTTCATTCTTGCCAGTTGCTTTGTTTGATAGCAGGGTTTTTGGGGCAGACCGTATTTTATTTCCTTTAGCATAAGATGTCATTAATACAAACTAATGGGAAACCACTACATTTTCCCACAAATTGTTTTCAATTCCTCTGTTAATTTGATAGAGTCAATTACTATTTGAGAAAATTCCCAACGTAAGAGTGAAATCAAGAAAGCACACACACTCCAAACCATAACGCCACCTGAATCACTTTGTACCGAGAGCCTAGCACTCATCTGGCTAACAGAAATCTGACAGCTTTAAATGATGACATCACAAGCAGCTGCCCATCAAACAGGGCTTTCGACTGTACAATAAGGGAAGAATCTCCCAGCCTACAGGTGCCTTCAATTCAGGGGGTAAATGGCTTATTATGCATTGTAGCTCCTGAGTTGCTCTTGACCACTGTGAGTTACTGGGTGAGTCTGGATTTGAATCAGCAATTTCCAGGCTATATAATGCAATAATGATTAAGGGAAACACGGCCCAATGCATCACTAATTTGCTTCCCTGTGCAGTACACTAATCAGTTTTGAGAAGTGCACATACAAATTAGATCATAAAAAACCACAAGGAGTCACTGAGAGCAAACACAATGTAACAGGACAACTAAACACAGTAAGGAATATTATTGTCATCATGAGTGTAATATTCCTCATTTATAATGAGAAAATATAAGAATATAAGAAATGATAAATATTAGAACTGGCTCTTTCCTGTAATCCACCCATTGTTACCTATGGTACATGGGTAACAATCATAATTAACAGATACAGTGGTTTGAGTCACTGCAGGTCTCACAAGCTGTAGTCTAGGGGTGGCCAACCCTGATCCAGTAGAGCCACAGTCCAGCAAGACTAGGAACAGGTTTTGAATAATTTAGCAAGTTGATTGTTTCAGTGAAGTCAGGAATGGCCTGCTATGATCTTTGAATGCTGTACAATGATTGGTATTTTCAATTCAAGAGGTCTCTTAATTTCTTGGATACCTGCTTTGATCAAAACAAAGTGTTTTAAGGGTTTAGAACTTGACTGATTGAATGATTGAACTGAGATTCTACATTGTGCCTCTCTAGGACCGTGGTTAAATGGTCCAGACATGAAGAACTCTTGGTTTCCAGACAAAAGCCTACATACTGTAGGAAATGGTTCAAAGAGCTTGACATGGAAATCTGTGTTCCATCTCTGAACATCCACACATACAGCTGTCCACAGTCTTGGGGAAGTTTATACTAGAGCCATCAAAAACATGGGACCATCAAAGCAATATAGGCAGGCAGAGCTCACCTGCACCCCAAATGTGCCCAGAACTATGCTGCAAAAGATAGGGTTGCCAAAGATGCCATCAAACACATTCCTCTCGCCATGGATTTTGCGGGCATTGATCTCGTTGAAGAGCTGCATCAGCACAAACGTGTTGAAGATGATGGTGTAGTGCTCCGAGGGGGGGGAGTGGAGGGGCGCGTTGCGGCCGCTGTCAATGTCAAAGATCTTCTCTCCTGAGATGAGAAATAAACCACAAGCACACAACAGGTAGGCTCGGTGGAGTGTTTGTTTACTGAAAATCACCTGTGAAACCCAACATGAGTGCTCTCCCCACAACTAGTGAAAGTGAACATTCAACCTCATTATACCTTTGGTCACTCTGGCCTTTGGATCTTTGTCTCCTCTTACTGTAGCAGGAATATACTGTACTTAAAAGTGGAAATGAAACAAACACCTGATATTGAGTGTGATTATGCCTGAAATAGCTGAGCACAAGTGAAAAGTCGAAAAGACAGTCAAAGAAAATCAACCAGATGCAGGCAAAAAAAGAAAAAAAGCACAGCATAGTGACACTTCTTCCTATGCCAGACGTCTCCTATGTAATAGGTAGGCAGTGTTTTTTTTTAAACTGCAATAAAAACATACAGTAGGCACACAATCCAAAAGAGATACCAATGACACTGAAAAACAGAGTTTTTGTTAAGTATCTGAACTCAGCCCGTCCTAATCTGTACAAAAGTACAGTATATTTGTAAGTTAGGTTATTTGGCACGGTCTACAGTAAAAGCCATGCTTGCATGTCCACTCGCAAGGTAGGAATGAACTGTGACACTGCTTGGGTTGTTACACCTCAGTGTCATGTCTATATAGCCATAAGGTATGTGCCTAAAAGAGCTGCGTATGTACATGTACTGTATGTGCTGAATAAGACAGGAAAATGAAGTGAGTAGGGAGGTGATAAACACATAATTAATTTTGAAACTCTAAAGAAATGTCTTGGCAAAGTTTGTTCTTATAGTGTACATGTACCAGAAATGAAAGAAATGATCCATTCCAAGCAAAGAATAAATGGAAACATGCAACAGTGCCTTTTATCTAGGCGTAGAGTAATGTAAAACGGCGAGGTTACACAGAAATACAGAAATGTTTAAAATCTAGTTTAGATCTATTATAGAGCAACGTCCAGGACGTTACTGTAAAGAATTGTACATAGTATGAGATAGGAGTTAATACATTTTCATGTTAGTGAGGTAAGGCATCGATAAAAATAAACAGAATCATTAGCTGTGGCTTAGTAGTAAAAGGGGCCACATGCTTGCTTCACTGTTGCTCTTCAGTGGTGCTAAAGAGTAAAAATCTGAAATCTGAACCTTGCCCATACAGGCCACTCGGCCATGTCTGAGACGCAGCAGGGAAAAGCAGGTGGAAAATGATTCCACAGAATCTAACATGTCCAGACCATCGTGTGAATCAAACCCCAGCTGCCTCAAGGCACACAATCTGTCACTGATGAAGCAGCCCATTGGAAAGACACACTAAGCCGCCCTACGAGAACCTGCTCACTCTGTCCTTTCTGGGACGTGTCTGAGGTTCCATGCACTGGTGTCAGTGTGGACCAAGACTCAGCCTGTCTCCCACGTACCCACAAAGAGCAAGGTGAAGATAATGGTGAGCTGGTAGACCCCGTGCCCCAGGATGTTCTTCATCATGGTGCGGGAGATCAGGGGCTTGTTGCGGCCGTAGGGCTTGCGCAGGAGAAGGGCTTCTGTGGGCGGTTCGGTGGCCAAGGCCAGAGAGGCAAAGGTGTCCATGATCAGGTTGACCCACAGCATCTGGACAGCTTTCAGCGGAGAGTCCTGGCAGAGACAGGAGGATGGAACCAGAGTCTTTCTAAAGTCCCTTCAAGCAAGACCTGACGAAAGCTCCCTCCCATTTCAGGAATCTCACGTAGACTGAGTTCGGGCTCGCTCTGGTCTCAGGACGACTTGTGTGAAGCTGCTATACTGAGCCCTCTTACATCAATCTTCTTGATTTGCAAATACTTTTCTAAACCTACCAATTAGGTGGGAGGGGTGTCAATTATTTATGAATGTCTGTCATAAATGATGTTTTTCAGCCCAAAAGCACACTCTTTCAGTTTAAGGGAAAAACATATAACCTATAAACATGCCTTTTGGATTTTTTGACTTATTATTTAAACAATTGCTATCAACACAGTCAGTAAAAATTGTTTCTGTATCTTTTTAAATCATAAATATACAACCTCATTATTTGATGTGTCATAAATACACTGTAAAGAAATTGCTACAAACACAAACAACACCCATCAGAAGCAACTGACCGACTCCTTTAGCGCACAGCTGGTATTCCTGAATTTTAAACCTATGCAGTTTTTATTTTTACTTTGTTTTTGTAATTGTGAATTTCTCTTTTATTCTGTATTTCTGATTTTACTGTAATAATAATACTAATCATCATCGTTGTCGTCATCCAGAATTACGAAATGGGATTGATTACACTGCTGTTTCAAAAGCAAATGTGTAATGCTCATTCCGTCCACCAGAGTGTACAATGGCTCAGTCCCACACAATTTCTGGCATGACTGGATTTTGCCTTACCTGAAGATTACAGGAGTTTGTTGATGTTAGAAGCATGAGTGCTGTAAATACTGAGCTCAATTTCCCCTGGACTTTCTAAGCCTCTCCCAGGTATTTCAGAGTGTCACTAGGAGACAGGTACTGTGTGTTTACTGTACCTGTATGATACACTCTCTGTAGTCTCAGGTGTATCTGTGTGATAGAGTCTGTGAATTTCAGTGTGTACTTGGAAGAAAGTTAATGTGTATTTACCGTAGCTCTGTGATATACTTTCTGTAGTCTTGGGTTGATCTGTATGATAAAGTGTATTTAAGTGCGTACCTGGGAGACAGGTACTGTGCATATCCTGTACCTATGTGACACACTCTGTAAAGCCTCAGGTGTATCTGTGTGATAACATCAATGTATTTCAGTGTGTACCTCCTGGGAAACAGGTACTGTGGATATACTCACCTGTGTGATGCAGGCTCCAGTGAAGGCCACAATGACAGCGACCACATTGACTGTGAGCTGGAACTGCAGGAATTTGGAGATGCTGTCATAGACATTACGGCCCCACATCACTGCCTTTACGATGCTGGAGAAGTTGTCATCGGTCAGGATGATATCAGAGGCCTCCTTGGCCACATCTGTGCCAGCAATGCCCTTGGAAACAAAAGGGACAATTGATTAGCAAGGCCTCAGTTTTTGGTCCCTTCCGCTCACACTGATATTGAAACACAAATGTGTTACCTGTCACACCCGTGCCGGGTGCAGCTTGTGTCCTGCCATTGCTAGTGTCAACCAGCACATTCACACACTAATGCAGCCGGCCACAAACCTCAGACGACCTAGGTCAGGGCGCCTATCAATCAGGCCTAAACATCTTTCAATCAGGCAGCCAATCCACTGGGCAATCATCTTATTAAGCAGAATTTTTAAGGCAGGATTCTTCCATTCATCGGCGCGCCAACATTGTCATCATTTTCTATTGTGTAAGCCTCAGCTGACGCGTTACCGTCTCGCAGTAACCTTTCTGCTAGTCTGAGACTTCCATTTGATTATACAAGGCGGATTTTCTCCATGTATTTTTTCTGAGTCACGCCTAACTTCTTACCTCTATCGGTTTCCTTGCCTACTCTTAGCTATCACCCTTTCCTTGCTCGCTACTGCTCATCTCTGCAGGATCTCCTCTGAGACCCGCGCTTGAGTCCTGTCCTGTCTCTCGCTGCAGGGTTGTATTCAGTGCCTGCACAGTAACCATCTTAATGGCTTCCAAAGCTCCTAGTTCCAGTACTACTGTTGAATCCCTTTTTTTCTAACTGTAGGTTATTTTCCAAAACTACTAACAGCAAAACCTAAAGCAAGGGAGTTAAATATTTCTGATATTTTTTCTTTTGTCACACCCTCAGTAACGTACTTCTTATCTGTGTTTTCTCTTCATAATTTTATAAATCTACGCAGGGAAATGGGAAGAAAATTGTGCTTGGGAGCAAAAAACGCATTAGACTCCCCCGTACACATGGAGCAACGTTTGAATGTACTCCTCCACTCGAGGTCTGAATCAGGGCTGCTCAGCATGCAAAGCTTCCAGTACAGCCCACTGTAGTACTGGCATAGAACCAGCGTCTTGACTGTTACACTCATCCTGCTATTCATTAAGGACATAATTAAGGAGCAAACTGTAGTCCATGTTTAGATGAATCTATAGAAAATGAACCATAAGAGGGTTAAAATAAAACATTATTGTTTTTATATATATATAGACATACACATATATTGTTCTATTTATAACAAAAGTTCTATTAAGGGGACCTGGTGAAATGAGATTTACCTGCTATACCACTGTTACAGTATGTGGCGTACAGTACATACCTGCATACCTGTGGACAGGTGAGCAGTGTGCCGGTACCTACCATAGCAAAGCCAACGTCTGCCTTCTTCAGAGCTGGCCCGTCATTGGTCCCATCGCCAGTCACTGCCACAACCTGACGCTGCTCCACAACGGTACTGTCAATGATGCCTGAGAGGCGGGCACATCGTTAACGATAACCGAGCGCTTAATTATCCCTAAAGTAGCTGAGTGCTAGTCTTTAAATACAAGACATACTGTGAAAGAGTTGTCATTAGTCTACAGCAGGAATGGGTAAGTACAGCCCTTTAGGGATCCATTGTTAGCTGATTCACATTCCACCTCTGATCTTAATTGCTTACAAAATAATTATTAGGATAAGGAGTCAGGTAAAGATAGGGTGCTTGGAATATGGTGCAGGAACCTGTCCAGAGGAGAGCAACCATGTGTATTCCAGTGTTTAAGGGAATGCCCTACACTGACATTATCAGAACAGGTTACAAGGGGACCTGATACAGATATCAAAATCCTCAGAAGCTAATTTCCTCAGCATGGACAGTGAAACACAGATTAGAGGACAGATGTGGAGGAACATTTAAAACTGAGAACGGGATGTATTTCTTTACCCAAAGGGTGGAGGGAGTATGGAAAAGCTGCCCAGCCATGTCATTGAAGCTGATACCCTAACCATGTTGACACAGCCTCTGCACTGACACAGTGTTACCTCACCGTTCTTTCTTCCACAACAATTTCTGCAAACAAATGCAACCAATTGTGACCTATAGTTACCCAGGGAAAACTCTTTTTTAAACTGCGATTGCAACAAAACGGGTTGAAAGAGCAGTCGACACACCCACCTGCTCAATAGAAAGATGCATCTTATTACCTGCTCAATAGAAAATGCTTCATATTACCTGCTTAATAGAAAAATTCTTAAAATCACATCAACACTGTGTTGCAATGGTTTTCAAAACCTCTTTAAGGGATGGATGAGCTGTGCTGCTTGCCTTACCTTTAACCAGTGTGTGCTTGTCTGTCGGAGAAGATCGAGCCAAAACTCGCAGCTTCGGCCAAATCTTATCAATCCGCTCCTGTTCAATCTGATGGGGTGGGAATGGGGGGTACAAGATAATCAGAATAGCCCTCGTATAAATAGGGACATTACCAATCACAGCTTCCTAATAATCCCCATCTATAAAATTGGCTTCATTTCTCCGTTTTCCTCCCCAATTAATAGCAGATGTGTGGTGAGGGTTCTGGCGCACTATGGCTGCTGTCGCATCATCCAGGTGGATGCTGCGTATTTCTGGTGCAATTCATTTATATTACCTGTAAAGCGGTTTGAGTAGAGTGTCCAGAAAAGTGCTATATAAGTGTAAGCATTTATTAATATTATTATTATTTTTCCAAAATGTACCACCAAATGAGGAGAGAACATTTTTAGTCTAGGGATTCTACAATAAAGAAAATCATAAACAATTTCATAAAATAAGACTGAGGGCTTTCTATAATAAGGTTCAGATGATCCAGCAACTGGCTTCCAAGACTGGTCAGAACAATGTTCTTTTGAGAACAAGCTTTGAGGAAGAGGAAAGCGATGGTAATATTCTTTACTCTGTATGTTTTCCTCCTCTTTCTCACTGTATGTAAGACCCCAGGAGGACTGAAATCCAATGGCGAGTTAATCAAATACACACTTAATTGTTCTTTATAAGATCTAAACATATGGAATACTAATAGGTAAATGGGAAGGTTATCACAATGGAAACAAAATACCAGGAGATGTCAGAAGACAGATTTGGGAAAGAAACAATTTGTCAAACCAATCTGATAGATTTCTAGAACAAGCAACGGTGGTAGCTATATTATATACCAAGATACATTTACATCTCCAGAAGGCTTTTGGCTAAAATTCCACATGAATATACATTCTCAAATGGAAAGTCATGGATATCCAAGGTGTCACAGACAAGAGGAAGCTGTAGCCCAAGAACGGCCGAGAATTTCCAACCTTGCACACCTCCTGAGCCCCGCAACTAAGTCCCATCCCCAGATCTCACCTCTCCCTTTTCATTTCTGATTCGCCGGTTAAACTCCTTGCCCTCTAGACAAAGGAAGTCCTCGCCAGCCTGGATGATGCCACACTTGGCAGCGATGGCGCGAGCAGTGTTGATGTTGTCGCCAGTCACCATTCGCACCGTGATGCCCGCGCGCTGGCACTTCCTAATGGCCTCTGGTACCTGCCAACAAGAACACGGACCAAGAGCTGGGTTTTGATCTGGGATTATCCATCTGGGGAAGGGAAGCAAACCCTTCACCTTTATTCATGGTAGCTGTTGTCAAGGCACCTTTCTCAAACTCCATTCAGAGTGATGACTACCCAGCGAACTACCTTCAAAACCTGAAGGATTTACAATGAGCTGGAGCTATGGAAGCACTTTAAGATACATATACAGTAACTACATTACTTGTTCACCTCAATTCCTTCATTATTACTTATGGTATGTAAGAGAATGAGACCCATATTTAGTATCTTCCAGCTTCTCTAAAACTGAGCTCTGACCTCCTCTTGCCAAAAGTTTGACACCCAAGAATGCTTGTTTCTGATTCGCAGGATCTCATAGTGCTCCTTCATTTTTATTCCGGTTCGCATATTTTTTACCACATAGTACCACATAATTTAACCCATCATCTCCTGCTCCACTCCCGTCCACCTCGTATAGCTTCTCCCTTTATTTTTGCCCCTCACAGTTTTTATTTTTCAGTTCATTGATTCATAATATTGATTATTGACTCATATAGTCGATTTCTTAACTTCTCCTTCTGTTTACTCATTATTTTCTTTCAGTGATTATGATTGCAAACAAAAAGAAAATCCAGGGTACCTTGCATTGCAATTAGCACGCTTTCGCTTGCTTGATTTAATCTGACAGTTTAAAAAGGGATTAAAACAGAAGATATCTAGAAATCCCATTGAGGCTGTCTGGACTGCTTCTATTGAACGGTTACCATTCACAACTAAAACCGCTGACAGGTTTGGCTCATGTACCTCTGGCCGGACAGGATCCTCTATGCCCACCACTGTGATGCAGGTCAGATCGGTGACTATCTCATTTTCGTTGTCCCACTCGGGCTCAGGGGAAGCAGGGAAGTTGCGGTAGGCGATGCAGATAGTGCGCAGGCCATCGCAAGCCATGGGTTCGATCACTTTCTTCACCATTTCGTCACGGTCGCGTGGCCGGAAGTTTCGAACCTCCCCATTGCTGTTCAGGATGCTGGAACACCTTTGCAGAAGACAGGGAAAACAGGAAGGGGGGGGGGGGGATCCCTTAATCCTTTGAAGCCCTGTGTTTGACTGGGTTCGTGGGTTGCACATAGTGATATTCCAGTTTTCCAATTTTGGATCTGCATGGACATCATCCAAGGACCTCAGTCATGACCTGAAAGCAGTATCTGATTGAATATGCAAGCTCTGGCTTTAAGATGTTTTCTCTTAACTCTCTCCTTTACAAATAAAGTTGGGGCCTACCTATGATTTTTAGATATTTTATAGCTCCCAAGCCTGGTCCTGGAGAACCAGCTGGTTTTCATTCCAGTTGAGCTTAATCACGTAATTAAAGTCTTCAATGAACTGATAGCTTTTTTCTACTCAAAGTTTTGGAATTTTATTTTGCTTCTGAAATGCAATAAATTGCAAAGTGATCTCCAGCATGTTTAAGACTTTGTCAAAATGAGCTTGGCCTTTTCCGGCAGATGCATCACTCTTCCATCACTGCCAAGCTGGAGTAGTGGAGGCAGACAGTTAAACTGGTGGAGAGCCAAATTTTTTTATATTTCTCCAGTATCTATAATACAAAAATAAACTCTTGTGATGGCACCAGGGGCTCTGTGGTTGATGGACAGTATTATATGAAGTGTGTCCTAGACTTCACAGACCTTTTCGACTACACCAAGATTACAAAACGGGAGATCCATGACACAAAACTCCCAGAAGACGATTCACTCAGAGTAAAGCACAAGTTTGCTATCTTTCCCAGGCAATATAAGTAGAGACCAGAGAGGGATGTTGTTCTGACCTGCATCCTACTGTAAAAAACAAAAAAAGACTGCAACTGCTTCACTGATGCTGGCAGCTTGTGAGTACAAACTAAAAAGCTGTTCTAATTAACCGGGGAGAGCTATGTGCACCATGGCACTAGGGCTGAGCCAAACACAAATTGTTTTAAGAAAATACAACTAGAAAAAAGAATAGCCTAATTTAATAAATTGAAATTAGCGGATTAAAAGAAGAGAGGCACAGCCACTTGCTGCTACTAAGAGAGATAGGAAGAGAGACATGGCTGTAGAAAAAAGGAATTGCTCTGAGTTTGTAAATTGCTTACATCTTTTATTTTATGGAGTTTTTAAGGGATATCAAGAGCAAAGACCAGAAAGACAAGGTAAAACCAAATACTGTTGGTTTTCTTACTTTTGAAAGAGCTTAAACATGAAGACAGTGACAGTTTTTTTATTTTCTTTTTGTCTTTTTTTCTGTTAAAAGGAGATGTTTCTTTTTCCCACAGGGGCAGCTTCACTACCCCTCTGTATTAACATGAATTAGTAATTATAGCAATACTTCTAGAAGCTGACTTTTTGTTTATTAAACTTTATTCTTCATTTAATAAACTTTTTTGTGTTAATGGTCTGAAAGTCATGGGAGTGTCTATGTTTTGAAGGCCCTGCTTCTATTCCGTCCCACAGGTGTCCACATCCCCCTGAAGCATCACACACTAGGAAATTGGTTTTAAATTATATAATGCCACTCCCAATACCCCAATGAAGCCCTCATATGTAAGAAATATACTGTATGTATAGAGGTTTTCTCCCAGAAATGCACCCAGTTGGACCCATGCTAAAAATTACCTCAATTAGCACTGAATCCTACAAAGATTTTCTTTGGGATGTATCCTCAGCGCTAAGCAATACATGGCTGTACAAAGTTGGAGATTAAGGTGCATGATGTCATCAGATCAGTGCTGAGATGCACTGCTGTATAGTAGCTCTTGATACAAAAATGCAGCAAAGGTTTGGAGAGAACATGGGGTATTACAAATGTAAAGTTTGATATGTGAACCATGATATCTGTATAGAATAAAGTTTGATATGTATTTTTCTCCTAGGAGATCAAAAGTTTTTTAAGATCTCTTACTTCTTCAGGAGGATCTCAGAGGCTCCCTTGCTGTAGAGCCGGAAGCTGCTGTCCGGCAAACGGACCACAGTGCTCATGGACTTGCGGACGGAATTGAAGGTATAGACCTTGTAGAGCTTGTCCTCTGGAATCTGCTCCCGCACTGCCTGGTAGTCTCTCTTCAGGTCCAGCACGAAGCCCAGCAGGGAGCACTCCGTCTTGTTCCCCACCTGCTTTGGGAGGCCACCCTCCTTGTCTGGAGGCTGGAGTGGAAAAGGAACGATTGTCAGTTTTCAGAGAGGGCTATTTAAGGTAAATGACGAAACACAGCAAAGAATGAACTTGGCTCCAATCACATTTTTCATGGAGGATGTACTGTTGCTAAGTGAGTCTCAGCTCCTAGTTCTTCTCCTCCGGCAGTGAGAGAGGACTTGCACAGACACAAAAGGTGGTAGAGAGATGGAAAAACTGGAGTAGGGGAAGGATGGGAAGTTGGTGGGAGGAGTGGGATAAGTGAGAGTTCTGGCAAAGGATGGTAGGAGCCCAAGGTGCATCTTTGATTGTCATCTTTAGCAGTGCTCCCACACTTCCTGTTTCATGGAACAGTTTAACTTATCTGACTGACTTTCTGTTGGCTGCATGAGAATGTTTAAAGCTGGAACACGGTGTGAGAGTGAAAACTAACTCTGCAATGTTTCTACTGGAACCGTAGAAAAGGCAGACAAGAGCTCACTCACCATGATCTTCGAGGTGTAAGCGCTGTTGACTGCGATGGCACTGATCAGGAGCTCCATTGTTTTGGGGTTAATGGAGTGGGGCTCAGGGACTTCTTTGAAGTAATTGTCTCCAATATAAGTCTGTACCACTGTCATGCGGTTGGTGGTCAGGGTTCCAGTCTTGTCTGAGCAGATGGCTGTGGCATTGCCCATTGTTTCGCAGGCATCCAAGTGTCTCACCAGATTGTTGTCCTTCATCATTTTCTAGGAAATACAAAACAGGGCTCTTAATTCTATTCTGGTGTCCTGTCTGGTGCAGTATTGCAATGACTGTGCATGTTTTATTAATAAAAGAGCATTGCAAAACCCCTAATCACTCTTTCCCCTGTGGTATCTATATAAGAAAGTAACAATCCTATTGCATAGCAGTTTGATTCACAGGAGATTTTGAAGTCTGGAGGACCTGCAGGTTGAAAAACAAAAATACAGATGAATGTACATAAATGGTATAGGTGTGGCCAATCCTGTCCCTGGAGAGCCACAGTCCAGCAAGTTTTATAGGCCACACTTCAGTTATTCATTTGAATGTCCTTGGACCAATTTCATTTTGATCCAGGACACACATGGTTTGTTCAATTAAATAATTCAGTAATCCTTAGAAATACAAACATTCATGACTTAAACTAACTAAAGTTATCAAACTTGCACATGCTCCAAGTGTTGACAAACTTGCAACATCTGCTTACTTAGCATTCTTTGACTTGACGAAGACTATTGGCTTAGTGAATTATGAGGCATTTCAATATTTCTGAGTGCACGGATCCACATCAGAATAGAACTCACTTGTGAAATGCAGCTGACTTACCAAATAGACAGTAAATTATTTAACCACCAATGACACCACTATGCTGATGATGTTACAGTATGTGCCTTGACAGAAAAAAACTCTCTAGGTACTTGTAATATCACAGAGGCACATGAGAAGATGGAACTTAGTCTTAAGCATTCAGAAGACCAAACATCTTCACCATCAAGTTCCATAACACTATTCCAGCACCATTGGTTATGATGAGTATTTGAGGAATTTCTCATACAGCATTTCTCACACTTTGGGAGTTGTCTTTCACAGAAGGATAAAATTGATGAAAAAAGTGCAGCCTGCAGATTTGAGGCCCACAGTGGTGCCCATAGTGCTGTCTGTGGACATGGGTGTTTAAAGGATCACGACATCAAACCTCAAACAACATCAAACATTTTCTGTATTAAGTGGGAGGACAGAAGCACCAACATCAGTGTCTTATGCCAAGCAGGTTCCACAAGCATTGAGACTACCATCATCAACCATCAGTTCTGTTGGGCCGATCATGTTGTCTGGATGTCAGATTCCAGACTTGCAAAGAAGGTTCTCTTCTCCCAGCTCAGCCAAGGCAATCACAACACAGGAGGGCAGAAGAAGCACTTCAAGGATTACATTAAAGCAAGGAAGGGCTGTGAACAGCAAACATGCAGACATGCCATGTGAGTAACAGCTTCTGGGGGTTTATGGCCCTTGACTGAAACAGATGGAGAATTAATATGTCCAGAGTGAGGGATTAAAGCGAGAGTGTCAAAGACTGGGCAACATGACTGGATTGTGCTCACAAACAGATATCTCCTGCTCAACCTGCTAAAGGGAGTGCGGCTCTTGTTTTGGCCTGAATGGTCACCTTCTGTATCATGGAAGATGATCGGTCATAAACTGAGAGGGACAGCCAACGGACAGCATCTGCTGGACTGTAGATATATAAAACCAGGATTGGCTACTGCTGTACCAAGACTTTGGGATTGTTATCTGTCTTTCAGATAACAGAGAACCTCTATGTAAACAGGTACAATGATGTGAGATCAGTCTTGATTGAAGAGACTTTAACCCCTGAATTCAATAACAAAAACACAATTTTCATTCTTTTTGCTGTCTGTAGCCCCAGTTATCCTTAGAGATCTGAAAATCATGATGGCTGACTCCAGTAAGGATCAGACCGAGCCTGCAGTGAATCTTATTACAAAACACAATCCAGTTATGTCTGACCTTGTATAACCCTGCTTAACACTATGTGAAACAAAAAGTTATACACACTAGGAGTGTCATTCAAAATGTAATATTCCTCCAGGGTTGTCCTTTTTTGAACTCCAGCAGCACCCCCAGGGCTTGACATGTAAAATTCCCTACAGACATGTTCTGTTTTAAGATATAGTAAAATAAACACAACTGAATGTTTGAATCATCACAGTCTGAGGGAGTTTTCTTTCAACAGCTACTTCATATCATCCTGAAGTCATCAAACCTTGGCAGCTGTGAAAAGTTGTTTCTGAGAAGACTTGTTTGTTATTACGATGATGCTGTGGCTGGTGACAGAAATGGTTTTAGCTGACAAGAAGGTGACACACACTGAGCATTCCACAGCACTGTCCAGGATTGTGGTAGACAATGTCTAATCAATAAGACTATAAATTGAGGATTTGATTGCTAATGGATAGTAAAGACCCCATGGTGCTGTTGAGGTTGATCTCCAAAGACCAATTCCTTTGCTAAAATTCCAGTTCAAGCTTCAATTCAGCTTAAACCTGGAATGTCTCTGACTTCTCCCAGTTTACCTGGTCAAGTAGTTCCTTATTTGTCAATATTGCAAACTGCTCACTAACCTACAGCCACAAAATTGTTCTTGGAATCAAGCATATGATCATCATCATCATCATCATATAATCATCATCATAATCACCACAATCATCATCCCAAGGGTTACCTTGACAGAGTAGGCCAAAGAGATGGTGACAGCCAGTGGCAAACCCTCAGGAACGGCCACCACCAACACAGTGACGCCGATGATGAAGAACTTCACAAAGTACTGCACATACACAGGGGTGCACTCTGTCAGCCAGGTCCGGCCTTCGATCACAAAGGTCTGGATCACGAAGTACAGCACCAGGATGATCACCGTGATCGCAGACATCACCAGGCCTGAAGAGAGAAGGAGGGGACAAGTGTAGCGACTTTTCTGACGTGTATAAAGGCAGGAAACCTGGTGTGTACATATAGGAAGAAGGAGACGGAGTAACACAGAAATCAGGTTATCATCTCATCTCCCCCTTTTCTGCTTTAAATGTAGAATCAGAACATAATTGAATAATTAGGATTCAAACTTGTTCATACAGAAGGCTTACAAAAGATTTCAATGTTCACAAGGAGCACTAATTTTTTGGGTAAAAAAGGAAAATCATATTTTGGTTTGGTTTCCCCTTAGTTGTTTTCTGCGAGACAGTTTTTGCCGAGACAGTGGCAGGATTTTAAGATCGTATTACAAATTAATTGTACAGAGTTGTTGGAATTCTTTTAAATATAATTTCTAGGGCAATTGTCTGAATACGTTTATATGCGCTATAAAATGACATAAGATAGCTAACAGTAGCTCGGACAACAGGTAGCACATCTTGTGGAAGCAAGCCACAGTTTCTGAAACAAGAACGGACAGTTAGAAAAGCAGTTCACATATGATACTCAAATTCTTATGATCATTTCTCACTTGATTGTATTATCTGTGGCAATCAGCACAAGCAATGATTATAGTATTAGTATAATTAGTATTATAGTAAAACAATTCGTATTTTACAATTCAGTGTAAGCAAATCGGGGGATCACTGGAACTGCAATAACGCTGAACATGGTAGTTCGGTATTATGTTCGCCACTGTGCACTGCAACTGCAAGTATGCTGCCACCCTTAAAGCAGACTGTACCACTCGTGGATCCAGGCCACAGCCTCCTCTCTCGGGACACTTGCCTGCTTTGCCGATCTGCACGGCCAGCTTGGTGAGCTTGCCCTGCAGCACAGACTTCTCCTTCTTGGGCACGTTGGCTTTCTTCTTCTCCCGCTCCTCCACCTCGCCTCCCTCGGCGCTCTTTAGGGGCTGCATCTCCATGGCCACCGCCCCGTCCTGTTTCTTGGCTGGACCCCGATGGAGGGGAGAGAGGAAACAACACAAAATAACGCAAATGGGTCAGACAGTCCTCGGAGGCAAGCACGTTCCCGAAATTGCTGCTCCTTTGAGAAAGAGGTCTGCTGGGCTTCTCATCTTGATCACCTCCAAGCACGCCGGGGCGAAACAGGGTTTCTTCGCGTTTAGGAGTCATGCACCTGCTGATCAGTGAAAATCACCTCCGTTTGAGGAGGAACATTTACTCATCAGATGGACTGATCTGAGATTTCCAGATCTGAGCTCCTTTCAAGGCACTGCAAGTAGGGGAAATCACATTCCTTGGCAGCGATTTTCTTTGAACCTAGAGTCTTGACCGAATGTCATTCAGATAACAAGTCTACAGCTGGTGCGGCGCTAGTGAGTCTTCTCCCAGCCCCTTTCATCCAGTTCACAATGGGAGACGCCCTGAAAATCTGCATGAAATGAAACAACATGAATAGCCACTGTAGTTTAAAATAAATAGGGACCATTTACAGTGGCTTTTTGTTTCCTGTTGTTTCCTGTTCCAAAAGCTATCAAACCTCCTGCATGGGATTCCCTGATGTTTCCTGCTTGCTTTGCTCTCTCTCACAAAGGCTTCAAGCAAAAAGGGATCTTTTAAAATCTTCGGAAAAGCCTTTCAAGTATTTCAAGGGAGAGCTACACAGTGATGCAGGCCAGTGGCCAATTTATCACTAACACATTTACCAGCCATATGGTTTTTCATGGTCAGTCTTGGCTGAAGGGGGGGGGGATGATTCATCTCTGTAGAGCCACAGTCCAACAGCGTCTCTTGGTCATAGTTAAATATGGAGAATAAGACCATTACCTGCTACAACAGGCAATGGAAGTCCAGTAAGAACATCACTCCTCTTTATTTCAATTTCTGCACTTCTTTATTTTTTGAAATCACAAATTATACACGACGCCTTGCAGACCTACCAATAATTTTAAATTTCGGTTAACCACATGCAAAATGTATTATTTTTTTCAACTCAACTTAGTTATTCAACACTGGAATAACTGAACACAGTTATACAGTACTGTATGTGAAGGAGGTTGAATGTCAAAAAACACACAAAGAAGAAATTCAAAGTGAAAAGTACTGATTGCATACGTATTCAGACACCAACGTCAATACTTGGAGGACATACAGTAGGCTTGATAGTAATTACCCTTCTTTGTGGATACAGCTCTATCAGCTCTGCACAGTGGGATAATGTACTGTGATGGTTGCCCATTCTTCCCGTCAGAATTATTCCATGTCTGACACGTTTGTTGGCAATCATCAAACCTTTTTCTATTGGAATCAACTGGGCTGCTCCAGGACAGTCGCTCTCTTCCTCTCAGACCCTTCCAGTGTTCATATGGCCTTGTGTTTCATGTCATTATCTTGGTGAGATGTGACGTTTTTACCCATTTGTAGTTTTTTGGCTAACTCCCGGAGGTTATCCTCCAGGATGTGCCTGTACTTGTGCCTGTACCATCTATTTTCTCCTCAAGCTTCCTGGTCTCTACTTATGAGAAACATCTCCAGAACATGCTGCTGACATGACCATACATGACAGCGGGGGTAGTGCTGACTGGGAAATGTGCTGTGTTTGTACAAACACTTTACATTTAGACTAGAAAGTTAATCTTTTGTTTTGTCTGGCCATAACAGATTTTTCCAGGTGTCTACAGTATATCTTATACAAGACAGAAGATTAGTCTTTGAAACTAATGGCTTGCTTTTTGCCCATTGCCTAGGCTAGCTTCATGTAGGGGTAGGTATATTACCAATTACTGTATGAGCAGTGACTCCCATCTCAGACGCAGAACATTGCAAATCATTCAAAGTCATGGTTGTCTTTACAGTGACATCCCCAACAAGTTTCGTGCTTGCCGGGCTGCTCAGTTATTAAGAAGAGTGGCCGATTCCATGTCTTAGTGATGGGATTCACTGTAAAAGGGATAGGCAACTTCCTCCAGATTTCTATCTCTCTACTACCTCATCCCTGATTTGTATTGAAAGCTCCTGGATCTTCAGGTTGGATTTGCTGTACCATTATGTGAGCTGTGGCTTGAAACTCAATTCTAAAAGAACACACACAGATAAGTACATTTATGCTGTCAAGAAATGAAACTTTGATTACATACAGCCAGAGACCGTTGTACTGTATATGTGAATTATGGTTTGAAATTCCTATGTCATTCTGAGGGGACTTACAGAGGTTTTTATTCTGAGTACGTTGATCACATACAAAGACCATTATACTAATTTTGTGACCATTTTTTGCTGAACTGATTTAGGCTTGCCATTGCCAATACTTGAGATACGTATGCCATTGAGAGTCTTCTTTCTTGTATATCCTTCTTGTTAATATACTTTTAACAATTTTAGCTATATCAGTTTGGAGGAGACTTTGTTGATTACAGATACTGTAACTGAATGGGGACAATAATCTGTGCATACCAAGTTTTGTGCTGGGAGCTTTGTGGGTAACAAACACACAGTTGGCCAGTCTTTGTCTCAGTTTTCTTCTTAGCCTGCACATTACATTGAAAATGTATCAGATCTATAATAACATTGTTGAATCCCAAAGCCTACTGTATGTAAGCCACTGTAATGAAAACTTTAAAAAAGACAGTCAAAGCAAATAATTTCTAATTTTGTATTAGAAATTATTGTAAATTTACAATGTAAATGTAAAGTTTTTGAAGTTAACTATAAAAAACAAAAAGTGTCAACAATCAGCTAAAAACGTCAATAAGAAAAAAAACTATTTGTAAAGTTATGTAAGAGACATTTATAAGGCTCACTCAGAATCAAAGGACTGAAGGCAGTTGTGCAGTCCACATGAGTTTATAGGTACATGGCTCCAGCATTTTCACCTCTGTTCTGCAACCACCACTAACAACAGTTAACACCTCACATTTTGCATAAAATTATGTATCAATAAACACTGAGTTTAAAAACAACCTTTAGCGCAAATGTAGAAGCATCTCTCATGAATAGATATGTGTATTTGTTTTTACTTGGTACACACCCCCTGTCATTTATATGTACACAAATAGGGAATTTAGTTTTTAGTACTGTATATGGAATTGCAGTTTAAATATTGAACTACCTGTCCTGTTCCTGTTTGACAGCTTCACAACTGTAAGCTCAGACAGTACAAAAATGAGAAAGCTTTGGGGTTTTACACTCTATGTAACATAATTCTGCATAGCTGATTAGAATGATATTTCTCCTTATTTTATTATTGTAGGACAAGTACAATTCCTTTAGTCATGTTAAAAACAGACATCTGTCCCACGTGAAAAGGAGGAGAGGCAAGCTGTCAGTTCTGATGGAGAAGTTGTATATGTTCCCTGTGTGTCATATTTGCAATCTCTTTTTCTGTTGTTCTACTAAGATAGTCGTTGGCTGTACCAATTCCACCATAATAATTCCATAATAGACAAAAAGACTTCTGAAAGTCTGTTTTATGAGCAAGCAGATTTACTGTCTTTAGAGTGCATATTCTGACATTTCCTGTCCTTGACTGAGAGAAAGCTTTTTTGGAAAGGGAAGACTTACTCCAAAATCTCGGAGAAATAAAAAAATACTGCCAACCAAATATTTGTCAAAGGCGAATCGTGGTCTAATATTTCAGCGTATTAAAGCACAATAAAAGCAATGTAAAATCCCAGTAATATATTAGCAACAGCAAGAAACATTATTGTAAAATATAGAGGATTACCAGAGTAAACGTGCAGATATACCATGACTATTTACTAGAGTACTGTCAATGAGAGTACCTGCAACAAGAAATTTCCCCCAACTTATGGCTTGACAGGTGTTAAATTCATGCTTAAAAAACCCTGTAATGTCAATAACATAAACTGGATTCAACACCAGTGTCCATCCCAAAAGGCTAGGTTGCTTACCGGCACTTCCTTGACAAATTGTTTGTTTCTTACGTGGATAATTAATTATTCCCTGAATTTGTAAGCATATTGATTAAAATGTCATCGTTTACACATCAAGAAAGGGGTCAACCACATATTACGACACAGAAGTGGGGTGAATGGAAGCACATGGTCAACTGTGAGCACAGTAGCTTCATTTGTACAGGAAGACGCAGAGTGGAAGCAAGACAAACAAATACATTTGAACAGTGTGAAATGCCTAAAGCTGACTTTGGGTTTATCAGTGCCTAGGACGTAGAACTTTAAGAGAGAGAACGTTTAAGAGAGAAGAGACACTAGCTCTCACATCTAATAGCCAGGCTGACCAAGCAGACATCAATGTTATTAGTGAGGAGAATCTCATGCTATGAGCAAGTCTATTCTTTGTACTTATGGTGCATGTCACGTCCCTCAAGCAGCAGATGCAGGTGACCGCATTTAGACACAGCGCTGTGAGAAGAAACCACTGTCAGGCTAGTGCACACAGGCAAGGTTGTTAGCAGTGAGCTGGGAATTTTCGACATTCATTTAGCATTTTTCCTCTTCTCACTTTTGACCTCAGTGTACATACTGTTTATATTCATATTTCCTTCCTTCATATCTCAGTATCGTTTCCCTCTCTCTGTTTGCCTGTTCTTATTTGAGTGTGTGTGTGTGTGTTTTCTTTACCTTTGTTCTGACTGTTTTCCACGGCTCCATCCTGCTGTTTGCCTGTGAGAGAGAAGGTGACAGAGACAAAGACCATATGAGACACATCACAGACCGCACAGTGGCAGGACAGACAGAGAGAGAGGCAAAGCAACAGGGATGTGGGACATAAGAATGGGGAGAGGGGCGGCGGAGGATAGGAGCAACAAGTCTGGCAAGAAAACGAAACAAATTCTTTTAGAGAACAGCAACGCGTCATTGCAATTCCTGACGGGTGGGAGGAATTCATTACAGTACATAAAGTATTGTTGACATACCTTATACTGGCGCTTGATGCACTGCTGCTTAAAGACAGCTGGGTAACTAAAGTTCTGGAGAGTTACCAAGACCCTAAGGAACTTTGGAGAAGCAGTGAACCTGTCAGGGGTGGGATCTAAAGGAGAGTAACAGATCAGCAGGGTCTCTCGGCTGCCTGTGGTGGTTTATGTGGCCAGCCGGCGAAAACCGTGCAGTGTGAGGCACTGAGGGTAATTTCTGCTGTGGCTGTGCTCAGTCATTTCTTTCAAAAACAGGGAATGAACACAGGAGTCGGGGTGAGTCGGGCTTTCAGGTTCACATTTAGACGAGGATAAAACGGTAACATGTCCCATAGGGTTGCATGGAGAAGTGGCCTAGCTCTCCTATGAGTTGAAAGGGGGTTCACTTTCCATTCTGATTGATTGTTAGACGGTGAAAGGGGATAGATTTCCCTGAGGGGTTGGGTTAGAAGCACAGTGCAGGTCTCCTATGCTTCAAAATGAGCTTTCCAGGGGAAACCCATGAGGCAAAGCAGGGGAAGGACCAAGGAAGGATGGGAAGGTTTTTGGACCAGGGCTGGTCCAGCCTTAGGCCCAGTTCCACAATTCCCCACTGGTTAACAAGTTTTACCAAACAAGGTGCAGGTACCCTATAACGAGGGACTGCTGAGGCTGGCAACACCTGGGTTGCGTTGCAGAACATCCTGATGGGCCACCCTGATTTCTAAGAAGTCGAAGCTTCCCTGTGTGAAGACTACCAGCACAGCTCTGTCATTTATGTTTATAATCCCTTTCCCCGTTAAATTACACACCAGCCTGTTTAATAGAAATACAAAAATCTAAAAATACAGTACATAATTCTCAGAAGGGAAAGTCAAAACAAACATTTAATCTTTCACTGATAACAGAGGTTTACTCATCAGATAAGGGAATGCAGATGGCTTAGTGACGGTTGATTACAGCTTTAAAGGCAGGTAGTCAGGAAAGCAGTCAACACCAAAACAGGAGAATCTTATTTATCAATTTATGCATTTTTTACTGTTTCTAAGCTCCGCTCACATTGACACATTTACGTTTATTTTTTTCATGATGAACACGTCTGCTCAAAGAGAGTTAAAAAGAAGCTCCTGTGCACAGTCCGCTCATAAAGGGAGACTAGTACGTGGTTTTTTTTAATTCTATTATTCTGTTGCTGGAGCCAACAAAGAACATAAATGAAACTTCTGCAGGGTCTTTTTACCTGGACTTTGGAGATTGGTCCATAGACAGCTAGCGTAAGTTACAAAGCACGTACTGCCATCATGGTGATGTTTAACAGAGAATATTACAACATTATAGGGAGGGTTTGGTGCACACGAACAGAACACTGTTTCTCCGAAATTTCGAAACTCTTTTCCAGCTACAACCAAAACCACTGTTACTTCTGAAAGGCAGCTTCTTCCACCTATAATACTTAAAAAAACATATTCTGAAATATTAATGTATCAATTTGCCTGTCATATTATCTATTTATAAAGTGTAATTTTGCTAATTTAAACTAGAGCATGAGCAGCAGTAGGGCCCTATTGACAACAATGATGAAATCAGAGGTGGTGGAGTGCAATTAACATTCTTGTCATCTGGCAGTGAGTGCAGTGTTATTATTTCTGTTATAATTTTTCTAAGGATTTAAGAAAAATTCCTCAGAGAGCATGGGAAGATAATGCACAGAATCGATGAACCTGGAAGGTATTTCCTTGTATGGTCTTCTGCCTCTTCTTTTACATTTAATTTAACTTGGGGCAACAAACTTGTCACTCCACAAGTACCAGCTGATTTCCAGTACTGCTGAAAAGGGCAATGAAACGTTCAGAGTCAGTTGTACAATACTTTCGAAGTCATGGATGCTTGTCAGTTTTTTTCCCTTCTTTTTGCACTGTAAATGGAATTTCTGTAGGACACAGCACACCTCACACCGAGAATGGACATATTTAGACAAAGAGATTAACAGAAGCCAAAGAGTATTGTAGCATTTCATACTCTTCAGTATTAGACTGTCCCATGACCTCTCTCTTTTTCCTGCTCACTCCTTCCTCTTCCTCCCTTATAAATGCAGGCTGAAGCCCATACTCTCTCTTTCTCCTTGTGTGTGTCCAGCGGATGCCTGTGACTGTCTCTCCCTGCCTTTCCCACTATTCTCCTGCTCCGTGACTAGTGCCCCCCCATCTGTAATGAAAAGGGCAACAATCCTGTATGAGCTTGGCTTGCCTGCTCAGGCCTGTCTTTTCACATCACCTGCACTGGCTATCCCAGAGGTCCTTACTGCTGTTATACCGCTGTAATCGTTGACCACACTAAGTCTGCTGTTTAAGAACAGCGCCCCCCACAGGTTTTGTAAATTCCAGGGTGTCCCTTCAGTTCTAACCTATCCACGCAGGACAGAGTAAATGGCGTCCGAGTCCTGTCCTGGTTTTCTGTATCAGCTCCACCTAGTGGAGAGGGGCTGCGTTGGGTGGGCGAGAGTCGACGTACCATTGGTGATGCCACTTGGTTTACCGTCGTTGGGCAAGTCAGGTGTGTCAGCAGCTTGAGAGGACATCAAGTTGGCAGTGCCAGCTAGGGGGTTAGCGTCTGGGGTGGTAGGGTGTTGGGTCGGGGGGGCAAGGTGGAGGCAAACAGGAGTCGGGAGAGAGGGAGGGGTGAGAGAAAGGAAAAGAGCAAGGGGCCGATTGAGGCAAAGGGGATGAGAAACGAAAAGAAAAAAAAAAGAAAAGGAAATCATGAGCAACCAAAAATTAAGAGGAAACCCAAACAGAAAATGGTGGGCTTGTTTTGTATTACTTCAAGCTGTGAAAAAAGCAGCTAGATTCAAGGGCAGCACTGGTGGTGACTTACAGCTGCTTTGAAAGGTTGTCAGAAAGAAACATTAAAGAAAAAAAGATTATGAATGGTGACGGATTGATGCATTATTCTGCAACACGTGTTCCTGCTTTACCTCCTTGGGTAGATTCCTTCTCCTGTGGCCAGCAGCGTGATGGCCAGTCCTGCAGTGTGGCAAGCAATACGCAGCCCTGCACAGCGCAGACCCATGTGGGCTAAGGAACAGCATCTCACGAGGACATTAAACTATCTTTTGGACTCAATTTATTAATGCAGGTGAAGCTCTGCCAGAATGAAAACACCTAAAAGCCAACTAGCCTACGTCATGGCAAGTATGGTACTGTATGAACTGTTTGTGCTTCCAAAGTGTTGCTGTGTCCTGTGTTATTACCACAATGTCATGGTGAGCATATCTAATAGTGGAGGTCACAATGAAAAGGCTGGAGAAAGAGCTCAGCTGGAATAGTATATTCTGGTTTGGATGTACCAATCTAAAAGGTACAATGCATAGCTGCCTCAGAGAAGTTAAAAGTCTTCTTATTCTAGGGAAGAAGGAAATATATTAATATCACAACCAGAACATTTTTTAGATGTATCATATTGGCCACCTGTTCTCTATTCACCCATCTAGCTATTACATTCTTTTCCATGTACCAATACCAATGAAAAATGCCTTGTCTTTGCCCCAACACAATTTAGAGATTTTCCAGAATGAAGGGCACATTTCTCCAGAGTTTAGGTTACCCGAGTTGGTATTTAATTACCTACACACACAAAAACTGTAGGTGTGGACTGCCCTGTCAAAGCCACTCTTGAAGCAGCCCTCAATAATTCATTATTCAACATTCCTCCCTGCTGAAGTCCGGGTGAAGATAAGAGTGGGGCTGAATTATCCATGAGCAAAAAAAGACATCCATTTTGGGTTGCTCACTTAGCCTGGGCTCTCAATATTTCATGTCTGGGTCTTTAAATAATGCACACACGCACACACACAAACTGAAGAACCTTCTTCCCAGCAGTAAGGGCTCCGAATTGTGGGAATTGACAGACCACAAATCAAAATTGGTTTTGCCTGTAATATCATAGAAATTTACCTGCCTTTGGAAAACTTGTGCAGACTCTTTATGAGCTTAGATGGAAAAAAAAAATGTTCACCTCCACTCTTTTCACTCAATTGCTTTCCCGAGTCTTTTCAGTGATCAGCACACACAACAACATCCGCTAACACTGCATCTGTTTACTCCTGTGACCCACAGTTTACAGATCTTCCAATGTTAAAGTGAGTTTCATTCATTTTCACCAGCATCCCATATGGGAACCTTCACATAACTCCTGCAACATGTGCTGGACTAGAGCGGAATGGAGATTTTGGGGGATCACTTGAAAGAGTAGATGGGTTTCTGGCTGATCACAGCTACAAGGATGTCAGGAATGACAATACAATCTGATCAAACCCAACCCTGCAGCATGAGCACTCAATTTAGAGGAGGGGTGTCACCTTCATTGTTATCCACCCACAGCTTCAGGTCAGGACAGGTGGATGCCATCATCCCCTTCTCTTCAGTTTACTCAATCTACTAGGTGCAGTGCATGATGTCCAGGAAACGATGACTGAGAAAGAAAACGTCATCAGGACTGTGTATTAAACTCAACTAACCTGATGCTGTATCTGATCCATGTACCTGATAAATCTATTGTGGCATTACGTGAGGGGCGTGCCCAGCGTGGAGGCAGAGCGCTGGTAGCCCTCAGCTTTGTAGTCCCAGCTGTCCTGGCTTCTGCAGTCCTATAAAGGCACACTGGACACCCCCCGACGGGACGAGAAGGGCCACCCCCGGAAGGGGAAGTTTACACCGACAGTCCCGGAAGGTGATTGCACCCACGTAAGGCGTTTCATTTTCTTTTTGCCTGTCCAATCACGTATTCTCACCGGGGCAGACACACACAAGTTCTTGTTTTGTTTTTGCCTTACGCGCCCTGTTCACCAGACTGTGCCGCTAAACAGGGTAAGTCTAGTCTGGTCGCCGCTGTGCTCGCGGTTCTTTTTTTCCCAGGCTGGTCCCTGTCAAATAGTGCACGCCCAGCTTGGAGGTCACAAGGCACAGCAGTAGTCCTTTCTTTTGGCCTTTTCGTTTAATTTTTCACTCCTTTTGAGTTATTTTTGGTCCCTGCTAACCTCACACCCGAGGCGTTGACTTTTTACCAGTGCTCGCTGCAGCTCCTCCCACTCCGCACTGTCACACTGTGACCTTTGGGAATGAATGTTAATCATCTCTCACCAATTACAATGCTGAAATGCAATACTATTCAAATAAACCTTCAATCCTGTTTTGGATATATACTGCATATTGAAAGTCAGCAGCTACAGACAGCTGTTTCGTCTTCATTAGTCAGGCATATCCATCTTTGCAGAAATATGAAATTTTCATTAAACTTGTCAATTTTTAGCCATAATTTAAAAAAAGCCACACATTCAAAGTGACCGAACTGACACAGCTGAAAGCATATTCACAGATACATAGGCAGTTGTAGACAGATACCCATATGCTCACTGTCACGAGTGCTGCTTTCCATTCACCTCTTTGCACTGCTACATTGCAGAATATTGACTTATTCTGTATTGAATATGCTTTGCAGAAAAATTTATGCCACACTTAAGAAACACTCACTGTAAGTTGAGTCAAACATAACGCAAAGAGGATTTCTTTGGTTTCTAACCTTTTGACTTTCATTTGCTGAGAACTAAATAACAGGTGCTTCCAAGTTAAAGTTGAGAGGGTTTTGAGGTTTTTTGTTTCTGTCACCAAATGGCAGAAGTTCCTCTGTATATTACGTAAAATAACCCGTAGGTGTGCTTTTGCTAAAATGACCACCTGGCTGTAAGCTTCACTTGTTCCTACTGTATTTCATTATTCAGCAGCTCAGACACCAGATGTAGAGATAAAGAGATACAGACTTGATGACACATGTTGAGCGACTTCAAAGAAGGGTGGCTTTGAAGGCTGTGATAGGGAACAGGTCAGGTGTTGTTGATTGATTACTGCTTTCCCCAGGACCCCAAGCAAGGTCTTTTAAAAGTCATTGTGATGGGACATTCCCCAGCTGCATGGTGTTGGATCTTGTTGCAAGAAAATGCACAGAAGTGTGGTTTATCTTTATCTATCCCTTTTATAGTTTTCAGGGGTCTCACTTACAGTTCTCACTGCTCTTTGTAGATACAAAAATACATTCACCTGGTCAAGATATTTGTGTTACATCTACTTTCTCATCCTGACACTCTCTAGTTTGGTTTCAAAACGATTTTGAAGATCCAGGTGAAGCAGCAGTCGACATCATTGGGAAATGCAATAAATGTGGTCATACATCTTGTTAATCTGATGTTCTTCAAATTTCAATGTAATCTTACACTGGTAAAAAATGAATATGCAATATCGTGTTAATCTCCTGTTGTGATGACGCAGAGTGTTGATTCACATGATAATGTCATATTTGCTCTTGTTTCTCTTCAGCAGCCCATAACTTAGATGCGGTGTTGAGTCTCAGCATCCCTCAACACTCCAGCCTCTTTTCAAAGCACAGCACAGCACATGCAAAATCACAGTTTGGAAAACTAACAATAGGCCAAGACTTGAAAGTGGTGGTAATTGGATTATAATATTTTTAAAATGCAGAACAAATAATAACTTATTCTCTTCACGAACCTAATCTAGATTCACGAACTGAGACTTAATCTCCACTCTCCACCTGCCAGTGAGTAAGTGACAATCTCGCACATGCGCACACACCATGAGATTTGCAGGCATTCTCTGAGATGTCTTCTGTCCCCGCAATCTGGAGAACAAATAATGGAGAGTCTTCCACAGGACAGACACATCACCAAGTAAACTACGGTAAACACCTGTAGACTTAAGTGCCTGGTTGTTAATCAAGAGTTTTTTTTTTTGCACGGTCAACCAGTGATCTTTTGTGCTGAGTCTACCACACCTGATCCCAAACCTCTGGAAGTAATGGCCCCTAGCTGGGATACCCAGTCATATCTGACGCATTGTAAAACTGTCACATCCACCAGCAACCACATTCTACCCCGCAAACGACCTCTCTCTAATCAGGCCACAGCTACTGGTAATTCCAGCAAGCGCCAGCGCGCTGATCAATTATCCAACCATGACACCATCCTAATGACCGCACCCTCTACTTCCAGGGATATTTAAGCCCTCACTACCCTCAGGCCTGCGCTCGGTATTGGCCTCTTTTCTAGGAGCTCCTACCTCACTGCTCAAAGCAGAGATATTCTCTTACTACTGGCCTTCAAAACTTGACCTTTGTCCCTCGACTTCAGTCCAACATCTAGGATAAGTAGCTATCGATCTCCTTTCCCTTTTTCCCTTTTCCCCAGTTCTCCGAAACTTTCAGAACAACGCAGAAGATCCTTCCTCTCTCATCGGCGTATCACTCGCAACAAAAAACCTGGATCAGACTCCACAGTCTCCAGGTTGAGCAGTCACCCAGGAGGCCCACAAAGGTAGTTTTGAAAAGTTCCAAGCCTTCCACAGAAGTACTTCAGTGTCACACCTGTATAGGGTCAAGCGCACCTACTTAAGCAGCACCTGTGTGTCGATTCTGCTTTTTGATCAATGCTAAGCCAACACAGAACACTGTCATTAACACAGGGCTACATTAAGTGATGGGCAAGCTAGTAGGCATGTGCCTAGAGCCAAAGTGTTTAGGAAAGGCTCTGTCAGAACTGCTAACTGTTCATGTTTAAAGTTTTAGAAATTACAAGTTTTAAATTTAACTGAATTTATAAGATGTTTCCACATGTTTTGACCTGTTTACAGGTGCACCTAGAGAGTTGCACACAAGCTCAGGTTTGTTAATGGTTGCCATGGGCTACAAGGAAAACCGCACAGTTTGTTGGTTAGTTTTGCCCACTTTGCGCTGCCACCAAACAATGTCTCTTTTGAGAGCAGCAAAGAGCAAGAGCACAAAAAAAAACAAAACAAAGGAGTCTGTACAGAAACATGTTATGATATCTGTGACTGAAAGGGACTAAACAGCAACTAAGTCTATGAAGAAGTAGAGTAAAAAACAGATTTTAGACACAGGTTGATTTTCTGAATATTGTTTGAACATCTAAAATAGCCTTTCAAAGCTATTGCTTTGAAATGCAAACATTTCAGCAATGACCTTGTGCAGGCTAGACATGAGGGTCCCCAGCAGACAGAGGTCTTTGGATGTCCAGCTGTACAGTGATCCAGCCGTTTCACTCCAGCGGTTCTGGAGATCAGTCATCTTGTTTGATGGAACATGTGCAAAATTACCTTTGATCAAAAGTGTGTGTCCTTGGATTGTGATGAATTGGTTGAAGAGTTGTCCAGGAGAAAAGTAAATGCAAGGGGCCAAATATACAGTATAGTATATCAGCACTGTAAATCATAGTATTTTTGAGTGTTATTACATCAGCATCAAACTAATGGAGGCTGAGGGGAAAGGATAGCTGCTGTTTTTTTCACTGGACACAAACACTATTCTCTCAGAGTCTCACGCTGCCCAAACCGGCGAGGGATCCAGTGCAACACAGGGAGACCTGCCTGGTCCAATAACCTCCCAACTTTCTGTGCCTACCTTTCTTGTCTTTCTTCTCCTCCTCCCCCTCTCCAGCTCCCAGCAGGGTGAAGATGATGCCAGTCTGGGAATTGACCCCCACAGCCGTGACTACCATCCTGCCAGAGCCTTCCATGACATGTGTGCCTGCGATGAAAACACGCAAAGAAAAAGAAAGAAAGAACGAATGAATGAAAGAAACGGGTTCCCGTTATTCTGCATCTTAGCACGATGTGCACGCTTTGACAAAAACTGCAGTGTTTGAACTCGAGATCATGCTGCGGTGCATCAAGACCAGTGTAGAGGACGATTAAAAATTGGCTTGTGTCGATTCACTCCAGTAGCTGCTACGTACTCAGCTCTGTCACTACAGCTGGGATCGAAGATCTATTTTCTGTCATCCATCCTTCCATTTTCTAACTGCTTTATCCAATACAGGGAGCCGGAGCCTATCCCAGCAAGCAACAGGCACAGGGCAGGGTATACCCTGGACAGGACGCCGGTCCATGTATACAGTCTTTTGCCATTGAAAATTAAAACACAAAATACAATGGACAAAAACAAAAGAAAGGTTCTTAACAATCTTTTACCACATGGAGTCACTAAGAACTCTTTCAAAAGTAAAACACAGTCATGTCTTTTGCATATAGTGTGCTGATTTAACTCATCTGCTATCTTGGGATGGTTTTGCACTTGACAAACGTTGCTTCCAAATAACTGCCAGCAATTCCTGGGATGTAATATGGGAACAGTACACACAGCAAAATAGTTTCAAACAAATTTTAATTGAAAAAGTAAGGAAGCTTTTTGTACATGGCTAACATATTAGTTGCCTGTCCCTGGACAAGGAATTGTCACGACTGTAGTCCCTCAACCTTAAGGGCGCTCTGGCCCTTTCACTTCGGACATGATTTTGTGCACCTGTCCCCTGTTTCAGCCTGTTTCCAGTCCTCCTTAAAGCCAGGTGCTGACGTTAATCCGGGCTCTGCATCTGATCTCCGTATTATGCGAGTCCGGGACCTGGAAGCGCCTGACCCCATAAAGTTTTTATTCTCTGTTCCCGTTCCCCTTCCGCCGGTTCCGACCCGGTTCTAGTTTTTATCTTGTTTGTTCCCGGATGGACTCCCCGGCTTTGGACTTTTCTCGTGTTTGGATTCCCCCTTTGGATTTCTACTGGATTGTTTGCCCCGGACTCACCCCCCTGGACACCTTCGCATTTTGGACACGCCCCCCCCATATTCATTCCTGATTCCTGCATGGCTTTTCTCCCCAGTGTTTCCTCACTTCCCTGGATTGTGTCGTCCGCATAGGGTCTGAAAGAACTGTTCAGTTACAGGAATATAAAGGGTAAGTACTAGTAAAGGTAAACTTGAAGAAGAAGCGGAAGAAACATTGGTGGACTTTTTAGGAAGTGTGCATCACAAATACTCTTCCCACTGCACCTCTAGTTAATCAGTTCTGGAACAGTGGGCATGAGGAAAACAATCTTTGGAGAAAATGCAGAAAGCATTCCACAAAACACATAGTGGATCTTTTTTCTTTTAAGCATGCATGACTGCATACTAGCATCTGTATGCAACAGCCATCTGTTCACTTTGCACAGTCTAATAACTGAAGTGCCCTACTTAGAGAGTTCCTTTTAAAGTGCCAAACCTACAAAGTGGAAAGTTAAATGAGAGCTGAGATTCACTGAAACTGCAAAGCTGGTGATGACCACGTGTGAGATGCAGGAGAGCAGAAGCAATGGCCTGGAAGAGAACTTTAATTAGGATGGGATTTTTAATTAAAGTAAAAGGAGATCTGATGTGTGAGTGTAATTGGATTGTGTGCCCGAGAGGTAGTCTCAGGGATCTTTCGTCACCAGGACTGTCTTACAGAAGAATTACACACGCCAATGAATTAGAGAGGGCCGTGCCATGCCCTTCAAACCAACTGTAAAAAACCCCACGGAACTCTGCACGTTTTTTACTCTTTATTCCCCAGTCAAGATGGTAGCCCAATGGTTTAGATTAGCAATGAAGCCACTCACTGTATGGGTAATGTCGCCTGGGTGACAGCTTACAGACTACAGTACGTGACCACACAGGGCCCCTAAAAAACTTGGAAAAGCTCTGATGATGACTTTTTTGTGACGTCAGTACAACCAGGGTCTCCACTTATGGTTTTCGCATTGATCAGCCACAGAAATGTGAGGCCCATCAAGGTCTCATCTCTTTATACCAGGTGTCAGTTTTCTTCTATGGCCTTGCCCGTTATTAACTAGGTGCAAAACCTTTCCTGGGAATGCCATCGGACAGCGGTATAATTGCGTTCTCACAAATCAGAGGAGACAAATCCTGTCACAACTGTGGAAGATCGGCTCTACACATCTGCTTTGGCATCTCGACCAGTTGTTCGAGTCAACTGGAGCCAGATAAAACGAAAAGTGTTAGGATTACATTATGCACCGAAACACAGGCCATTTTGTGTCTGTATTTGACCTGTTTGTCACCTTTCAGGTCTTTCAGTCATTTGTCGCTCTTTACATCCTCTTGCTGGGACAGGGTGTAATTTCTTGTTGATGTTCTAACATGGTAGATGACAATCTCCCATGTTAACACCACACCACGAAGTGGAACTGAGTCTCTGAGTGTAAGAAGCACAAACGCTGGAATGTATTGTATCGCCACAATCAATTTAACACGTTTATATACCATGGGATTAGATTATCCACCCAAAAACACATTTTCTTAATAAATATTTAACATTATTTTTACGTCAGAGATCTCGTTTTGCACCTAATTTGTTGCAAGAAATCATAAACATTTGAAGATGCCAATCAAAGCAGAGACAATACGGAAGACAATATGGAATACAAAAATAACACGGTAATGTGTTTTTCAGTCAAAAATTGTTCAGTCAAAAATGTACAGTATTTGTTAGGACCTACTTAGAGAAAAAGCACAGCATATTCTGAATTAGAGGAAACTACTTTGAAACTTTCTCTGAAAATCTTGGATCAATCAGAAGAGGGGTATCAAACCTTCTGCTTTTCAGTCCACCTGAGCTCTCGGTTACATACAGAAGTTGTTCTAGTTATTTAGTTAATAGCATAATTGCAGTTCTGTAACAGGGTGATTAATAGGCAACTGTACCATCAGGGAAGTGGATTTATCTATAACTGAAGGGAAGTGTTTATCTATAACTGAATCTTATTCTGTACCTTTACTGAAGTGGATATTTTGAGAAACTAACTGTATAAGACATTAAGAAAAAAACACCTACTGTATACAAGCACAAGTAAAGAATTAGGTTAATTGTTTCACTGACTGCTGAGGTTGGAACAAAAACCACAAACACCAAGTCTGACATAACTGGATTACTGGATTACTTGAGTAACAATTCTGTTAAACACAGCCTTCAAAGTACTGTACAATGTACTGTATATTATATACTTCTGTTAATCTTTGAGCTTTTACTTCTACTACTTATACAGTACTGGTCTGCAATGCTGAGATACAGTAACAGCCGATGTCACCTCATTTTTGATGCCACACAGCCCATTAAAATGAATAGGGGACAGCTTATTTAACCCCTGGTGGAATTAGTTTGGTTTGTGCTGGTGTAACAGGGCTCAGTGCACTGGGCCAGTTAGAGAAGTGACATCCCTTCCTCTTAAATCTAGACAATGTAAAACTGTGTCTCTGCAGAGGCCTGTACTTGGCGCGACAGGATTAAATCTCAGCAGGAGCAGGGAGAACCACACTGGTCACTGGTCACACAGGGAAAGACACGCCTCTGAAATTCATATCACTGAGGCTGACGGTCACATTTTTGTCATGATTCCATGTCAAATACATTTTTTAAAAAAGCGTGACCTTGAAATGCTCATTCTTTTGCAGACAGAGGGATGCCGAGACACACCAAGGGAGTGATACTGGCTTTTCAGTGAGCTGAACCAGACAGCACGCTGCTGAAGACTGCTGCCGAGCAGTGAAGCAAAATGGGTTCTGACTGGAAACCACAGCAAGTGCTGAGACACATGGTAGGAACAGCCATTTATAACGGTCTCCTCCAACTCTGTTTGTCAGGGAAGCATGGTGCACACTATCTGATGTGCTGTGTTAAAGCATGATCTTAAAATGCTCTTATCCAAGTCAGTGCTTTTCGTATGAAGAGACAGAGTACTCTGCCTGGTGACTGTCCAGCTTAATCAGTCTTACTAAACTCAGCTTCACTGCTTTTACTGTATTTCTCTACAGCAATGCTATAGCATGTCACAACATATACTTTGAATGTTTAGTAAGCTAGACATCTCACTACGGTAAATGGTCCAATACTGCCTATGATCGACTGTATCACAATGGCTATATAAAGTAGTGGGAGGAACAGATAGAGGTCAAATCCCTGCTGAAAACCTGGAAGTGCAGGATTAACATTTTCTTATTCCCTTGCAGCCCAAATGGCGATACAGGCAACCCTTCAAGTAGCTCGTGGAGTAAAGCTTGATATGTGCGGGATAAGGCAATCCGAAAAGATTGTGACCCTAAAACAAATGAGCAAATTTTGGAATGAATCTTGGCAAAAAAAATCCAGCAAAAGGTCAGGTTTTCTGCCTGGAATTTTAGCTCTCTTTGTTTTTTCGCTACCGTCTGCATTATGATTTTAGTTCACAAATTCTATTGTGATCTGCCCAGCCCAGTTTCAAAACTCTGAAAATATTGACTGGTGGAGGAAAAAAGAAATCCCTTCTTTTCTTCTGGGCGTTGACTAGACGTGAAAGCAAGCTGGGAATCTCCGCAGCAGCCTGGATTCTCTGTTTGAAAAAAGGACAAGGCTGAAATCCAATTACCTTTATCTGCTTCAAGGGCCTGCTCAGTAATTTCCTAATATACGGAAGCTGTTGGTTTTTCCCTAGTGAAGGCCCTATGCTACCAGCCACTCCATATAACGACAGCATCATTTTTCAATTATTCAGTGGTTTCTATTTTTAACCTCACACAGAGACAACTTTAACCCCTTCCTCTGATATTTCAAATAAACAGGGTCAGACAAGTGTCTTGGGAGAAGCTATTTGGATTGCAGTTCAGATAAAATATTATCTACAACTAACTTATTTTTAGCTTAGAACGGTTTCATTTTTAGCTACCGAATAGCTTATATTAACCCAGATCTTCAAAGTGATCTACAAAGTCCATAGGGCACATACTGTAGGACTTTGCAGTTCAGTACAACACAGAAGAAGCACTACTAAAACACAGGCAACAAGCAAAAGTGAAAACAGATAAAAATAGTGACCAAAATGAAGAAGCCACTTGTTTGTTACTGTGTTCTGATCTTAAGAATTAAACTGTTATTATGTATTTTTAAGCAGAACATGCTTCTTTATTCACAGTGCTCATTCCAAGTATTGTCAGGCTCAAGATCTGCCGAGCCTCAACACTGTTTAACTTCATGACACAACTGGTGATAAACACAAGATACCTGCCATGTGAGTCATCTGATTACCAGTGTTGCTCATTGGGCTTGCCATCTCTCTCCATTCTTGGTCAACCTCATTACTGCCTGACACCCTCACTCTGACCTCATGCACTGACCTTCAGAGGCCAGCTGAGAGGTTGCGGGTTCAAAACTGCTGTTGTACCCTTGAGCAAGGTTTTCTAACCACTTCATCCAATTCAGGATTGCCAGGGAGCTGGAGCCTATCCCAGCAAGCCCCGGGCACAAGGCAGGTTACACCCTGGACGGGACGCCAGTCTATCTCAGATGTCACACAAATTGCTGCAGTAAAATACCCAGCTGTAGACATGGGTGCAAATGTATGTTCCCCTGGGTAAAAGCATAAAATAAATGAGTAAATAGTAGTAGATTTATTTTCAGGATCTGCTCACATGTCAAATTCTTGTCCAGCATGTCGCGTTGAGAATAACATCAAGCTTGTGGGAATACACCTTTATTGTGTGCTCTAGGTCATAGCAAGCAAACTGCTGTGGCTGCTTTGATCTTGCAAGATCAACCTGAGAAACTACGGCCATTTCCTGAACGCATCGCATCCAACTAGGCGTGTACAGAAAAAGAGACACCTGTGAATAAACATGAACCAGCTATAAGCAATGGCTGTTCAGGTCCCTGGATCGGGGAGTTAAGTTGTCCTACTGGAAAAAGTCTCTGCTTGACTGCTGGCTCATGCCCTGGCTGATTTGTGGTCTCCTGAGAACGTTATTTAAACCCTCTGAGTGGCCTTTGTTGGATGAGCATAGCAGTACATGTTAATGAACATTTCACCCCAGAATGTGAACAAAGTATCAGTTTAATTAATCACAGTAGAGTCCCAATTATCTGACTTAAATGGAACCAATAGTATGTCAGATAATTGAAAATGTCAGATAATGCGGAAACTGAGTAGACAAATCATAGATTAATGGAAGTGCCATATAAGTATGAAATCTGGTTTATTAATCTACTGTAAATCAGAGATTTCTCTTGAAGTATCAGACCTTTGATAGGCATGCCCTTATCCCTTTGCTGCGTGAACCACAAGAACAAGGCTTCACTGACCTTTCCAGATTTACATTTCTTCATCGTTTTTCTGTCCCTCAGTCCTTCAGTTGAGGCCCGATCAAAGCACCGCTTTTCTAGCTCATTTCTTTTCCTCTTCCACTAACCAACTGTAACTCGTCCCACACCGAATTCAGATGCAATTTCTTTACATGGACTCGCCTTTGCCTGGTCTTTTCAACACTTCAAGCTTTTGTTCCATTGAAAGAACTACTTTCTTTCTCTTCGCACTTGTCATGTCTCTCAAATAATAAAATCATACTGTATACACGAGCGCAAACGAACAAGCGAAGCTACATTAATAGCAGTATTCGACACACTGACTGACAAAGCAGCATGGGATTGGGCATAACATTATCCATGTGCACGCATACAGTACATAGCATATACTGGATGTATATAGCATGTTGATTGCTATGTTGGATAAAACGGAAGGTTGGATAATCGAAGGTCGGATAATCGAGACCGTACTGTACTCTGAATATACTGCAGGTATAAACTACAGTGGTACAGCATGGGCAGCAGAATCTCTTGGCTCAATGCCGGAAGAAATCTGATGAATCGTCCTTACCGGATAGAAGCATCGGATCTTTTTCTGTTGACTTCTTTACGTGGTCTGACTCTCCAGTGAGGGAGCTCTCGTCGATCTTCAGGTCGTTCCCCTGAATCATAATCCCGTCAGTCGGGAGGAGGTCACCTAGATGAAGAGAGAAGCCATGTTATAGTGATGGCGGCACACCTCTCTTTTAAGATAGAGACCTTAAAACGTGTGGAACCCAAACACGAGACAGAGTGCAGCAGCAGGATGAAATGTTCTCCGGGTTTCCCCCAGTCTCTCCGATCTTCATTGTTCTAGATCACACAAGTAAGGATCTCGGACCTCTCTGTATTCTGACAGTTGGAGCTGTCCTTCCATTAAGCATACCATTTCCTAAGCATACAAGTCCCCTTTCTAGCCTTTATCAGCCACGCAACAAGTTTGTGTTTGCCTCAAGTTTTTCCGCTGGGTTCTCAGAAGATGGTAAGATTCCTAAAAATGCTCAAAATAGCTTCGAAGAGTTCACCTTAAGAAGGTGACAGTAAAAGCATGGGAAAAGACATACAGACAAGGCATTAATGCTGGGCAAATTCACAGAATATTATAGCTTGGCTATAGGTTATGAGTAGGTACAACAGCAGTGGTCTCTGCTAGTCTTTTCTATACTGCCTCAGGACACCCTCATACAGCCTCTGATCTTGCGTATCATTTATATATATGACCTTTCTTGGCATACAACAAAATCCAGAAACATTTAGACTAGAATGGAACTGGAAAAGAAAAAAAAAGATAACCGAAATGGAAGTTACAAAGGGAACAAAGACCAAGGGAGAACCAAAGAGGAAAACAAGACAAATGATCTGATAACAAGAGCCGATACCTAAATGATACGCAAAGAGTGTCAGAATCACATTAGACAAGATAGAAGCTGCCGCATTTGCAGGAAATGGTGATGTTCCTGGAAATCACAGAAACACAGCTAACTGAAAAAGAAGGAGAGGGGTGTAACTTCAGCGGATAAACTATGTTCCGGAGACACAGGAAAGACAGGACAGGGGTGGAGCAAATGGAGTAGAACTTTGTATCAGAAAGAGTATTCAGGCTCAGGAAGCTAAGTTAGAATCAGGAATCTCTGAATCTATGGGGATCAGGAATTAAAAAAAAAAAAAACATTCCAGAAGAAGATACAGTATCTTCTAAGAAACAACCAAAAGCCCTGGATCAGTTACCTACTCACTAAAAAATGGGCTAGATGGGCTGAATGGTCTCCTCTCAGTTGATATCTTTCTTTTGCTTGTAAGTATTCTTTTAGGTACTGTAATGTTTACAAGGGCACTTTTTATAATCTGCCTTGACATGCCAGCTCTTTCCAAGTTCACTTCATATCCTCCTTATCCTCACAGATTCCCCTACACCAGGGGTGTCAGACACAATTCCTGCAGGGCCCTGTGTCTTCTGGTTTGTGTTTCACTTCAGCTCTCTGACACACAGCTGGTCTAATTATTTAATTAACAGCATCATTGTTAATACTTCTAACCAGACTTTAAGGTGCTTTAGAGGTCACTGTACTTTTACAGAAGTGCATGATTGCAGCACCCAACAGTAAATGACCTTAAGAAACCTTTATATGTCTAATTAGGAAAATAATTAGACTAATTGTTTAACTGACTGCTCTGGTTGGACCAAGCACGGGAAAACACCAGACCCTTCAGGAATTGATCCAGTCCTACAACTCTTTCTTCTTTGCTAACTTGCTTTCTTGTGCTAGCGTTCCTGTGCTAAGATCAGGAAGGGAAATGACATGATGTGGGCCGTGGCGCTCACCGTATTTGACCTGGGCGATGTCTCCCACCACCATCTCAGCCACAGGGATCTGGATGACGATGCTATTCCGGATGACGCAGAATTTCTGCTCCTGCTCGATGCGGCTCTGGAGGCCCCTGAACTGCTTCTCTTTGCTCCAGTCGTTGAAGGCTGTCACCAGGACGACGCAGATCACCGACAGCAAGATGGCCGCCCCTTCGATCCAGCCTGCTTCTGCCTCCCCCTCGTCTTCTCCCGTAGACACATTGCCACAAGCTGCAGAGAGAGGTGTGTGTGGGGGGGTGGGGTGGAGAGGGACGAAACGCTTGCTTTTTTATTGAACACATTTCCAATTGTTCAGCTACAAAGGCTTCTGTTCAACATCAAATTTTGGAGCAATACAAAAATACAAATGTACTTCTACACAGTGCCACTGCTACCAAGACATCCCAGAATGCTGTACTGTACAGGATGCAGATCAAGACATTTTAGCCTGTGGGATGTGAAGCACTCCACTGAAAAACTGATTGCATGAAAGCGCATTCAGAAACAGAAATGGTCAAATTTAGACTTCGTACAATACAGTTTCAGCATCATTACTCCAGAAGGCACTGGCCTTGTGCCCTCTTTGATTAAAACTGCATCCTGCAGGTGCGGTAGATAGTTAACTAACCCATAAACGACTTTCATATGCTATTGAGAGCCTCTAAAATCAAGCAATCTAAAGCCAGCTCATGGCCTCTGTGGAGCTTTTCTGATTTTCATTCCACTGTTCTGGAATGAGTCAACGAGCTGCTTCATTTTGACTAAAAATGATCATTTTAGCACTGATAATTTCAGAGTCCCTCTACAGTGGTTCTGCAGGCCCTGTGCTTGTGATGAACACCACACAGTACTCCTGCAGTCATTTTGTAAAGGAATCGTACAGTTTGACCTGGCCCAACAGACAAGGAGAAGAAACAGAAAAATCACACAGACAGTGATATTGTGGAAACAAACATCTTCCAGGAAACCTCTCAATGACAGAGGGGGGAGTCCCAGGCAGAGTACATTTTGATACAATACGAAATCATTTCAATGATCGCAAGTAATTGAGATTGAAACTGGAATCGCTGGGGCAGGAACACATTTCAATCCTGAGAGAAAGAAATCTGCACTGAACTGTGTGTGCCTCTTAAAGAAAACAGGATGTCACTCTATTAACATGAAGGTAGAAAAAACAATACCAAAATATCACAGAGAAAAGTCAATCAAGTCTGTTTTTCACTGCAGACAGAACGCACTCCAGAAATCCTTTGATGCTGCCTGTCTTGAAGTTTGCTCCTGAGCTTGATCAGTTTTGTGCCCCTCTTGCTAGTCTCATTATTCCTTTTGTCCAAAATACATAATCTTGCTTCACTGCTGCTTCTGGACTATAATAGTGTCCTTGGTTTTCACTACTTACTGTTTGCTAGTTTACCTGCTTTCGAAGTTGTAATCAGACATAATTAAACCATCTGCACTCCCTCTCTCATGTAACAGTATCTATTTATAGCCTAAGCAGCTGAACCGTTTTTGCGACACAGCTTCAACAGATACATTTTTCACTTTGCCTCGTGCCTGTTACGAAAACCCTTGCAATTATGCAAGAAATTCCCTGTGATAAGGCTAATAGGAAACAATTAATAAAACATAAGATTGCAAATTTGGTAAAAAAAAAAGACTATCCTGTTAAAACCTGAATCAGGTGCCTTTTGTTCCATTCGACTAATTCAAGGTTCAAACGGAGAAGAAGCAAAATATGATTATCAGCTTTCTGTTAGTTAGTTAATAAACCCCCCTCAGCCTAAAATCTGTTACTGTAAAGGGAATCAGATTAACAAAAAACAGGAAAATGGCCCTTAATGGCCCCAATAATGTGTCGAAGTACGGTATATCAATATCATCCATGAAACACAAATAAGATAATGGAAAACAGCATTATTCTCATTATAACAGAAAACCTCGGATGGGCTTAAAGCATTTGTCAAAACAATATCTCAAAGCTGTTGCTTTCAGCTTTCAAAATCATGCTGGGAATTTCATGAACAACTTTAATCACAGTCTCCTTCACCTTCCCAGCCCTTCTGATCTGTGACATTCCGTTAGTTCTGTTTAGTCCACCTCTTTACAGAAACTCACAGATCCGTCAGCAATTTCACTGTGCCAGGAGTTTGGCACAACATTCACCCCCTGAGGTGCAACACAAGGTGAAGCCCTCTGCGCTACCTGGGGCTCGCTTAGTAGGTTAAACAGAACCATGGCCTGTGGTGTCAGGAGCTGTGCAGCTTTTCAGGGGACTCTGCGAAGCTGTGATGCCTACCATCGCTCTCCTCTCCGGGGGGCTGATAGAAAGAGAGGCCCAGGGAGATGATGGCTGCGATCTCCAGGATGATGAGCGTCACATCCTGCAGGGCCTCCCACACTAACTGCAGGAACGTCTTGGCCTTCTTGGGAGGGATGAAGTTCTGACCATACACCTGCCTCCTCTTTTCCAGATCCACAGGGTTGTCCAAGAGACCTGCAGACCAAGAAAGAGGACCGAGGCGGGCAGGGAGCGGCAAGGAGGTGGGAAGAGAGGAGGAAGGGAGGCAGCATGGAGGGGATCGATGAGGAAAATGATGGATGTGGAATTAGTGGGGAATTCAGTGGTCAAAGGTGGTCAGAAAGGCCAACAGCATTGGCGATCAGAGAAGGAGAAAGTAGGAATAAGGCCAAAGCAAGGCCAGGTGAAACATTGGGAATGAGATGGGGTTTTGGAATGGGAAAAAGGAGGGGAAGAGCAGTGGGGATCGGTAGAAGAGACACAGACAAAAAAAGGAGAAAAAAATAGTCAGGCATTACAATTTGTCTGTGCCTAGTGCTGAGCCCTCAGCAACAGATGTTAGCACATTTGCATTTAAATACAGAAATTAGCAAAGAGCATAAAAGGTCTGAATGAAAATTAGAGATAAGAGACAAGTTTACAATATCAAGTGCTGAGAAGAATTATCGCACCAAGAAAAAACACTTTATACAAGGATCCACCTGAAGATCTTCTTTTGGAATAATTCAACCCATTCTCGGAGATTTGGGATGGCATTCTTATTCTAGGATACTAATTAGATTTGGGATCTGAGAAATACAGGTCAATAAAGGAAGACTTAGCTCGATGTTCCACGTTTAATGCAGCCGAAAAAGTTTCTCATCAAGTTAGCAGCTCATGCTATTGGACCTGCTGGGTGATATTTCCCTCAGAACGACCCTGGTATTCTTTACTCCTTGTGGTTTTTTTACTTTTGGCGTCTGATGCAGCCGATTCGATGACTGCACTGTGTCGATACAGGGGTGGAAGAGACGAGAACATGTGCCCGCGGAGATGTTGGTTTGACGGGCTGAGCCAGGCGCTGTTACAGCAAGTGCAGATGGCCCTGCCACTCGCGCCACAGTCTTCATCTCACACCTTCGCTATCGGGCGCCGGGCACAGATGGTCCCGGCTTGGCAGTGGTAGCAGGCCTGTCTTTCCTGGCGCCGCCTTCCTTTTTCCTCGCCATTCCTCCGCTCGTTATCCAAGGCAGCAGGTGAGGTGACATCAGGGGGTAGGGAACTTTATCCCCTAGGCTGGGCTGAGAAAGGTCTTCCTGCTCCACCTCCTCATTCTGGGATAGTGTATAACACAGCACCATTTCGCCTCATCCTCGCAGGACTCGAGCCAACAGTAGTCCAGTTCAATGATCGTGCAACAGCCAACATCTTGCTTGGGCACTGCTAAGCATCTACCCATCCCTCCATTTTGTAACTGTTTCATCCACTATGGGGTCATGGGGGAGCTTAAGCCTATCCTAGCTATAATAAGCAACAGATGCTGAGCAGGACACACCCTGGACATGATGTCAGTCAATCACAGGGCACACACACATTCACACCAGGGCCAATTTTCCCAGAAGCCAGTATAGCACTGGACTATGGGAGGAAACCCACACCAACAGGGGGAGAACATCCAAACTCCACACAGACAACACCCTAGAAATTAAACCCAGGTTTGGAAATTGAACCCAGGGCACCAGCTCTGCAAGGCATTGTTACTCTGTCCTTTTGTTATGGAACTGACACTTTTTCCTTTGCCAACACCTCAGATGCACTCTCCTCTAGATCAGGCCACTTTTTAAATAAATTATTTAACTTTGGGAAAATTTTGATTGCCGGGTGGTTCAATGTGAACCACTGTAAACTATATCAGGAGCCAGCCTTTACAGCGCATTAGCAATTCAGTAGTTTCCCTTGTGTTTTAGCTGTGACATTTACGAGAATGGATCGATGAAGAATTTTTTTATAATAGCTGGTACAATAGGTGATACAAAAGCATATATGTAAACTTTCAGAACTTCTTTAATCGAAGACACAATTCAGCACTGCAAACAGCTTTGATCAATGTTTTCCTGACCAGTCTCTTCCTGTCAAACAGCAATTCAGATTTTGCTCAAACCAGCCACTGGTTGATTTCCATATAGAATCAACTTTGCATCTCATTTAAGACTGGTACCTTTCAAAGGCTCCAAGTGGACTAATTAGTGCACTCAAGAAGAAGGTGCTCTTCGTTTTCAGGCTCTCAACAGCAAAATGGCCTTTGGAATTGAACTCAGTGCTCAATGTGTGCTCATTGAAGTCTGCAGCAAGTGTGACACACAATCCTCTGAATGGAACTGAAAGAACTCCTCCTGCACCCATAACCTTTTAAACCAGATACTGTACAGGTCCCTGTGCATTCTGGAAAACAGGTTGCTTCTAAAGAGCCTTCCTCGCCCAACGTGCATTTTTACAGATGAACTGTCTGCAAGCTAAGAGCTAATGCATGCTCGGCTGTCTGGCCTAATCTCATTTAGAGGGATGTAATTGGAAGCTTAAGCCTATAAGTAAAATGATATGGAGCTCTTTCAGTCCAGCAAACACAAGTGTTTTCCCAGACAAACTGGGAGCTGGGAGGTCCATCCTGCGATAATGTACCTTGATTTCGTTCTGCTAGTTGTCATGTACTGTAGGTACACTTCTTTGACAGCTCATTGTCACAAGGAAGATTAGACCAAGTACAAATACACCGTATAAAGAGACCTGAGGGGTAAGGGTGCTCTGACAACTGCTGTCGTGCCAGTTACCACATTTATTCTGCTTTCACGTCTCACTCCAAAGAGGGAGCAAGAGGAGGTTATTGGCTCGGGAGCCAGTGCCAGCACCAAGGCTCGAACCGGCAACCTTCACCATACAAGTCAAACACCAGACCAGCTTGGAGGCCTTTCGGCCCCAGTGCGCCAGCTGTTTGCCGAGAGCTCTTTGAGAAGACCTCATTAAGACGGCACGCTCAGCGAACAATCCGCCACACCACGCTTTTGGCACACACCCACACCAACGCTCGCGCGGAGACATGGCTCCTGTTCCCTTTTCGGCCACAGAACCGCCGACTTAACGCATGTTCCAAAAGACCAGAGTGCCAGGTCAAGTGGCAGCACAGCACACAAGCATGGTAAAATGCTCTCAAGCCAGCAGAGGGGAAAGGGCGAGCCTGTGTAAAAGCCATCCTGCGAGATGCATCCAAACCATTATTGCGTTATTCCTATTGAGCTCTTTGGCGAGGGCTTAGGATGACACTGAAGTTGTAAACACTCAAAAGCTGAAGAGCAGCTGCAAGAATCTGCATTAAGTAATCAGCTCTGTGGGAAGGAATGAAAGAAAGTGATTCACTTGGCAAGGGAGGAAAGGATTTCTTCACACATGCATGCTGAAGAGCTCAAGTTTACAGTGCAGGGAACAGAGATGCCTTTAGATTCTCCTTTTTAACTGCTCCACTTTAACCTTGTCATAGCTTTTTAGCAATACTGGCAAAAATAATGTGTTTCTCCCTGATTGCGCAAAACTGCACTGAGAATGCTGTGTGATCTGAATGATCTCTAGCTCCAGCTGACAGAGACCCTGTATTGGACTAAGTGGTTACTTATAGCAGAAGGATGAGTGACTGAATCAAAGAAGGGAACAGGAAGGTATAAAAAGGGGTTTTGAAACTTGGTCCCAGGAGATCGTTCTCGTATTACCCCCCCACACACAAAAAAACAACAACATATAGATATATCTTCAGTAGATCCATGTTAGGTTATACAAGCAGAAAAATGTAGGTAAAATTGAAAGAGGAAGTGAGTACCGATCTGGGAATATCTTTATTATATGTGCACCGCTAAGTCACTCACTCAGAGATCAGCTGCAAGGGAATGTCAAATACAATGAGAACCTGGGGGCGCCTGGGTAACAAATCTATATAAAAGAAGCAGCTCAGCAAATTGACTACAACAATGATATGAGGAATACATCACAACAGTGCTGGGCCAACCACAAATAGTTACAATTGAGATGATTATGAAAACAGCGCTTGGTGAGCAGAAGTAGTAGGCACTGAGGGGGGCATGAGACACCACAGTGGTATGATGGCTACCCGCAGATGGAAGTGTGAAACTGGATTCCCCTTTTCTTCCAGATCGACATTTTGCAATTTATGTTCCTGCTTGCTGATTCCTTCCGTGTTATGCCAAAAGGGAAGAAAAAAAAGCCATCATCATCTGTGGGTGGCACCAGTGAGGCAGTGGTTAGCATTGCTGCCTCGTAATGTTGGGGTCCTGGGTTCAATTCCATGGGGTGCTATCTGTGTGGAGTTTGCATGTTCTCCCTGTGTTCATGGGAGTTTCCTCCGGGTGCTCTGGGTTGTCTTCTGGGGAAAACTGACCCTGGTGGTTCTGTGTATGAGTGCCTAGGATGAACTGGCATCCTGTCCAGGGTGTACCCTGCCTTGTACCCATTGCTTGCCAGGATAGGCTCCAGATGCTTTGCAACCATGAACTAGGTAAAGTGAAGTGTTTGTCCTATTTCAATTTAATTGACATTTACTGTGGCTGTTAGAAAATGGATGGCTGAATCTTTGTCTGTTTCGATTGCTTGGAGCCTTTCTTTTGGTCTCGGTTTCAAGCCGCTGTGTTAAGTGGAGGTGGAAGCTGGAGGCACACCGGTCCCTCGTCACAAGGGGGCGACTGTCAGGCAGGCTCGCGGACAGCCGCAGCAGCAGCTTGAGAGAGAGGAGCCGGGGGGGGGTACTAGGACGGAGTGTTCTGGGCGCTCAGAAGGCTCGCTGGTAACTTACAGCTCTGAAGGGAAGAGAAGCAGGTGAGGGCTGCATTGCAGCAAGCTGAGGGGAAAGAGGCACAAATCTGCAGTTTCACATCCATACTTCAGCTCCCCACTCCCATTTATCATTCATGAGGGAGTAGGCTGAAAGTACAGCACGCACACACACACACACATACACACACACACACAGGATCAGCTTCTGAGACGGCAGCTGTGATATTCCGGGATACGCTGTAAGTTGGCCTAGCCTGCTGCTCCCTTAGCTGGGTCTTTACCACTAGAACTCAACCCCAGAATGTCATTGGCGGCTTCTGAAGATTCTCCACCAACCCAGAGCTTTGACAAGACCACGGCCAGACGGCAAAGCATTGTCAGTC